GATTAACTAAAATAAAATTTCATGTAAATAAATTCATTGTTTTTAAAAAAAGTTTTTTACTACTTCAAGATGAGGTAGGATGCTGTGTATAATTTACTTCATGATGTATACTGGGTTTTCATTTGAATATTTAAACATAAAATTAAAGAGTGTTGGGGAAGTATGAAATGTTATATTTTGTTTTATCAGAAGGACAGTTGCATCTACTTCATCAATTTTTCATTGATGTGCTTGGAAGAAAAAGAAGCACATTCAGAGTGGGATTCTTATTTCCCTTTAAAAAGAACACTAACTTAGTAATTTTAAAATTCTGCGATTATTGGGTCACTGTAGAAATATCAGAAAATATGAATAAGTAGAGTACATAGCTCTGATAATCTCACCGCCATTATCACATCTTTGTGAACACACACATGTTTTGGCAACATTTCTAATCACTTATTTTAAAGAAATGAAGATGACTTAGAGCAGACTTCAATTCAGTTAACTTTAATTCTTCCTTCTAGCTCAAGAGACATGTTTTAATTTCTGTAGTATAGTAGGCCTTCCAGGGTTTTTGGACATGCATCCTCCTCGTTCCTTATCACTTTGTGATATATTATTTGGAGAAAGAAAGTAATTGATCTGGAGGATGAGATTTTCAGAACTCAGTTTACAGGAGAGATGAGCTGTTCAGCCCAAAGACAGAAGTGGGCTGGTATGAAAGGGATGGCTAGACTTCTGTGGATTCTCTAGTTGATTCTGCTGCCCAACAAATGTGTCCCTCTGGGAATATATAATAGAGTAATTCTTTGATACTGATCTCCAATCATTAACATTACTTAAAACTATGCAATATGAGGGTTTTTTCTACCTTTAGGACTATTTGGTCCATTTTCTTAGGTTGCGTTTATTCTCACATAGTATAAGTTGCTATTAGAAGACCTGTACATTTTCTACATATACCAAAAAACTAACAAACTAATTTTGTAGGCTTCCAAAAAACAGTTGCATTTAAAAGTCTTTGCTTTTCCGTTTGAAAACTAGTAACAGCTATCATGATTTTCCTAAAAATATGAGCCATCAGAAGCAAATATGGTCTTCACATCCCATATAAGAGGTTGACCGATGGTTCTTTTCAGCTAACTGTATGCCGCTCTTCATTTTTAATTCTAAGCCTTCACTCTCAACATATGATTTTACTTCTGTCCCAACTCCCTGAGCGTATTGGGGCCAATGAACTGTTACAAGCTTCTTCAAATTCCTCACTTCACCTGTAAATTTCCCTGAGTATGTTTTCACCAATTTTTTTTTTTTTTATCCCTGTGGTTAAGTAAAAAGGTGTGCCTGTCTTTCTTTTCAAGTTAATCCAGACAAGAAGCTGTTGTTTTCTATCTCCTTTATCAGTTACCTGCCTTTCAATCTGTTTTTTTTTTTTTAATGGAAACTCTATTTGATACAGATCTTTGAAACAAGAGTTTGCCATCGATCATCCTAATTCAACTTTCTTTTTCATCTCAAGTTATTGTTCTTCATGTCCAGCTACTAGTAAACGTGGGCTACTTTCTTTATCGTTTCACCATATAGTCTTACTTGAACTCCCCATTTCCTGCTTCTGCCCCACCACTCTAGAGAAACTTCTCTTTTGAGGTTCACATGTGGTTTTTCAAATAAACAAGCCAGAGAGGCCATTATCTATTATGACTTTTTCACTGTATTTCATATTGTTGATGGCTCTCATTGTTAAGTGTCCCCTCTCCAACTTCTGTGACTCTGACTTATCTGGTACTCTTATTAATTCTGGAGAGTACGTGTGCATCATTTGATGGCTTATTTATCCCCTTCATTATCTCAGCCCTCTTTGTCGTTTCCCCTTTCGAAGAGAACATGGGGGTTTTGCAGCCCTCCCAGTGACATATTGCTCTTATCCCTAAGCTGTCACCTCTATATTAGTCCTCATGTCAAACCACCTACTAAATATTTATAAAACATTTCTACCTCCCCCTAAAATTTCTCTCACCTAACGGTGAGTTTATGAGCTCCTTGCCCTTATTACTTAGTCTTTTCCCAACATATTTTGCTGGTGAGTTCACATTTATTCAAATGCCTAATCCTTTCCTAACTTCCCTCAGATTCTTCTTGATTTTGCTTCTTACTGTTTATTCCCACCACTAAGACCTGGTTTACACCCTATAGACTTTTTTGCTTTTTCTCTCTGCCTCTCATTTCTCCTCTTCAGTTTTTCAGGACTTCACTATCAGGTTAAGTTTCCTACAAAACTAAAACTTTTGTTCTCCATCCCTTCCCTAATCTTTTAGTCATGTGTTTTCTCATTAGTTCACTTATTTTTTTGTTATTTTATGTATTCAATAAATGTCAAGTGCCTAATCGGTGCTAATTAAGGAGAATATAGGTGTGACTACAACAAACCTGGAGTTCTACCTCAAAAAATTGACAGTCTAGTGGGGACGACAGACATTAAACAGATACCTAGAAATAAGTGAATTACACTGTGATGAATGCTCCAAAGGTTTCTCTTCCCCTCCCTGTCCCCCTGTAGTGAGGACTTTCACTAAACGGAGGTGACAGAGTGAGAGATCTGCTGCTGTGATTTTCCCTAGCATCTCCCCAACTCAAGTTGAGACTGTCAAGAGTGTTTTTGGTGATGGGAGGAGTGACAGCAAAGAAAGGAAGTGCCCCCAGCATCTTTAGGAATTGTTGAGTGATGTGGTACAGTGTGATTAAGGGGTCTGTGCAAAAGAGAAGTGGAAGTGTAGAAATATGAATGGATGGCAGGGGGTAGTGTCTGTGTTATGCTGCTAAGCATTTTACATTATTCCTCTCACAAAAACCTTACAAGACAGGTGATATACTCATTTTTCAGAAGAATCCGAGGCTCAGAAAAGCTCGTTATCCAGGGCCATAGAACTGGACCTGAATGCAGCCACTGCTCTCTCTTACCCTGAGCTTGGGATGTTAGGGATGCGTTGTGGAGCTGCAGTATCCCTTGTATTTGTGAAGAGTGCATGGGTCTTTCCAGGATACCTTCCCCCACTGTCCCTGTTTAGGCTTCTGGCTCTGCAAATGCTACTTTTATGACACTGAATCTGCATTCCTTGAAGACAGGGAACTTTCATCCTAACATTTTTCTCAGGGTTCTTAGCACTTTGTCTAGCTTTACTTCTTGAAGACAGGGAACTTTCATCCCTCAGGGTTCTTTTTCTCAGGGTTCTTAGCACTTTGTCTAGCTTTAAATAGACACTCTATCAATCGTTGTTGAATGACTGCTACTATCTTTCTGTCACCCCTCTTGCACAGAAGTTGACATCAGCACCCTTTGACAACAGGTGTCGTAACTGAAAGCAACTGCCAGGGGCACAACCGGCGCTGCCCGAGTTCTGACAGTTTTCTGGGCACCCTCCTGTTCCCTTTATAGGGTTCTTGTGTACGCATCCCATCAGACATAAAAGAAATATTTCAGTAACACTGTGTAACAACAACAAAAATAGGACATTAACAGGCAGCTCAGGTCATTCAGATGCAACCAGGTGTAGGAATCACTGCCTATGTTGACTTTAATCTGTGGTTAGTTCTGTCTTTGGAAAACGGGAGAGATTTGGATACTCAGGATATATTAAATAACAAAAGCTTCTAGAAGAGATTTGCTCCTAATCTTTCTTTTCTTAAGGAGGCATGTTTGCACACCTGAAACAATAATTATTAGGACAGTATAGCAAGATAAGCTGGCAGGGTACACATGTATATTTCTAGTAGAAGAGAATAAAAAAGGAACCAGTGCAAGGATAAATTGTGCCTTGACTGCAAGTATGTGAGAGAGAAAGACAGAATGACAAAGAGATTGAGAAGAAACAGACAGAAACAGAAAACAAGGCTCTCATTTCAAGACTGCAAAAGCAAAATGCTACTTTGTGCAGAGTACACATGTAGAATATTCCAAATTAAACACTGGTATTCTCCAAGTCTCAAAGATTTTGCTCTGTTTTATAGCCACTACTAAGTTTGAACATGGTACAGTTTGTGTTTCCTGGGAGATGTTCTTTTCTCATGCAAGCTTCTTAGGATTAGATATTGTTAGGAAGGAGGTAAGCACCTAGCATGGGAATACATGTACAAATGGTAAGAAAAGAAGATAGATTGAAGGATAGAGCTGGGAATTTTCCTAAGAAAATGAAAAAGTATAAGATCCAAGAGAGAAATTTAGGTAGATAAATTCAGAACCAGGTGTAAGAGAGGGCACATCCTGGACTATTTAACTTTGGCTGAGGAACATGTTTAGTGGTGTCTATGGGTTTTTATTTTGCTGTGACTAACTAGTTTCCTTTCGCATGTGGGAGAAATAGTGCTTGAATTCACTGTTTCTGTGGGCAGGGTTGGGGAACTGGTCCAGAAGAGAAAGGTGGTATCAGAACATGTCAGAATATTTACCTCACATCTAATGAGATCTGCATGCTATATTATTTTGTCATTTAGAAATAAAATATACCTGTATCTCACACAGTCATGTTGGAAGTAAATGGAACATTTTTATAAAAGTACTTGGAGTATCCTAGCAAGATCTTTCTTTCTATGAAATATTTAATGATGCTATATATAGAAAACCAAATTTACTAAGAAATAACATTTTCCTTAAGGGAAAAGTACAAATAGTATGTAATATGATGTGAAATTAACACCATGCTATATTTTAAACAATGAAAAGTTTTTCAATAGTCAAAACTTACTCTGTAGGGTACGCCCACATCAACTGCTTCTATTAAGACTTCAGGTCAGTTGACCCATTTTTTTTTTTTTTTTGGTTTTTTTTTTTTTTTTACACTTTAGTAAGTTCCAAACTGGAAAAACAAGGGTGTTGCCAGTGGAGGTTGAGGTGAATTGAAAGGTGGACAGGTGCCATCACCGCAAGCCAGTGTGGAGATGCTGTGGTTAGTGCATTTCATGGACAAGAAATGCAGCCCCACCCCTGCAAACAGGGGTTTCAGAGTGTATTTTCTGTTTTTCAGGATGAATCTTCAAGTCATGAATGTAACCAGCGCACAATCCTTCTTTATGGAGTGGGCAAAGAGCGTGACGAAGTGAGGCATCAGCTGAAGAAGATTACCAAAGATATTTTGAAAATCCTAAATAAGAAGAGCACCACAGAGACCGGGGGTAAAGGGCCCGAATGCACTTGCTCCCATTGTGCTGTCTTATGTCTTTCCTCTTGGCACAGTCTTTATCACATTTCTACATGGCACTGTCCCCAGAGTGTTTCCTCTCTTGAATGACTGTCACATTGAAATATGAATAAGCACATTGAAATTTTAAGGCCTTTGTTCCATTTATAGTAATTCTTGTATTAAAAAAGCATGCTCTATAGATAGACATAGGTAATTTTTATTTTCTCTTATACTTCCTAAATTTTCTACAGTAGTGTCAAATGAGATACTGAAGAATAAGTCGGAACCCTTAGTCTGGAAGTTTCCCCAATTCTTTACTATCCTTTTTCAAGCTTGTAGTTTGTTCTGGGTGCTCGTATTTTCATGATACTTGGAAATCATGACACTGTAGTCACTGATCTTTCCTTACATTATTACAGAAGAATAATTGCAGTAGGTAGTGGTGGCTACCCACATCACCAAATGATGTCAAGTAAAAAAGAAATTTGGGTCTTTGCTCTATAATGCCTTCTTGGAATATTCTTTTCCCTGGCTTTTTACATAGTTTTTACAGTGAAACTATGCATTTACCTTATGTCACCAGATTGCATAATTGAAATTTTGTAAATATCCACTTCTCTTTGCCTAATTACTCTTCTCAAGGTTTGTTTATTTTATTAGGCCGTCATATGTTTTAAAATATGATATCACTATATATTGTCCACTACCACCAGTGATGTTTATTTCTCTGTTACGTAAATAATACAAAGGGGGAGGGAAAGTTTGAATTTGCTCTGTGCAAGCAGTGCACTTCCTACACATGGTATAAACCACCTCTAGGAACCCTACTTTGCTGTTTAGTACGAAATACATACCTTTTTTTAGAGACTCGGTCTTTAAACTTCAACCGGGTGAATTACTAGAGCTTGTCTATACTAGTTCTAGTACCTGGAAAGTGCAGATATAACTAATGAAAGTAGCTCTTGCCGTCAGAAGGAGCGCACGGGCAGAAACAAGGTGCAAGAGCAACACGTTTTTCACTCTGAAAGTGACGTCGCAGGTACCTGAGGTCCGAGGTTGGTCCTGAGAACACAATGGGAAAGTCACCTTCACGTGATTCGCATCACATTTCCTAACTCCTTCTCATTGCCTGTTAAGGACCCTTTACTACAAAGGCTCCCTGAGGGGACAGCCAAGAGTTGTGGAAGGGAAATGATACCCTGTTGTCCTGACATTAAGCTTGAAAAATGCAAAACTGCTCTAAGAAAAACTGTTGACCTGTTGTTTTTCTCTTTTCTCCTGAAGAAAAGAGGATATGAGTTGCCTTTAGGAGCCCTGCAACTAGCTAGCAAAGAATATTTGGAACTTTTTTTTGTATTCTTGAAGATGGGGTGGACACGATCTCCTTTAAAGGTTCAGTAATAACAATTTTCGAATCTAAATTAATTTTAGAGAGTCCTTCCAGATTCTGTGGATTTTTTGATTTTGGAAAATAGAGTGTTGGGAAGCAGAAGGAAGCAATGTGGTATCCTTTTCTGTTGAGTCTACTTCCTTCCTTCACAGAGTTTTTTAATGCCAAACTGTTGTCTGTGCTATCTTGTGTCAGTCTCTCAGACAGTTCTTGCTTTGGAACTCACAGAGAGAAAATCATTGTTCCAGGCTGCTTTGTGAGATATTAGCAATGGAAACACCATGTGAAGAGGCATCTTCAAAGGGGATTTTTGTCTTTTCCTCATTTTAGATAAAATTCCTCAACCAGAAATATGTTAATTTAGGATTTTGTGAGCTGTTTGCTGATAGCCTATGTATAAGTCACTACTTAAAACCTAATATGTTCACCAGAAGCAGCTAGCTAACTCTACTTCGGATTAATGGAAGTTTGCCCACTTTTTCCAGCAAAGATGAGGATTGGTAAGGCAGCCAAACAGCTTGTGTGGGCATGTATTTAATTTCTGGCTACACGAAAAAAATATGATTTTGAGAAACTTATTAGGAGCATTCTCAGATCAACCGGGGCTTACCTTGGGGAATTTATAATCTAAAACTTATATGACATTTCCAGGTACAGAGGGTCAAACCTCATCTTACATTTACATTAACTTATCGTCTTTGTTTTTTTCTATGGTGCTGTCTTTTTGAAAACATTAATGAAGTTTACCATAACAGTCTCTAAGAGATCAGCACTTCTAGGATTTAAAGATTTTTGAAAAAGGAAAACCAAAATTAAGCAGCAAAAGAACAATAACATATATGATAAAAGCAAATTAACATAACAAGGATGAGGAAAATCTATGAATAATGAGTATATTATTACTCATGTATATATCATTAAAATAAAGTATTCCATTGAGAACCACCACTAATTATTTATATTTTTCTTTGCACCTGAATATAAATTACCAAAAATCAGTGGCATCTTTTTTCATAGGAGATGTTAATTCATTAGTTATATGTAAGTAAATAGAGGCAATTAGCATAAACAAACAAGGGTGCATTTGTGAATTGTCATTGCTGGATCTACTTCCTCCTGGCTGTTATTTTTGTGTGTTGTTTTGTTTTGGTCCCAGCAAGGACTAAATAATAATGTTAACTTCAGTTGTAAAGCACATCATACCCAAGACTGTTGAAGCGAGCTTTCAACCTTGGATCAATGATGTTGGTAAATGAAAACTTCAAAACTTGAATATTTTAAACATATTCATGACATGTGAGCAGCTATATTGAAGGCAGACTTCTACACTTAATTTGTAACTTTGGCAATACATATCGGAAAACAGATGTAGTGAACTTATTCTTTTTCTTGGTGCTATTTGATTAAAGTGGCAGTCTTGTACCTTATGTTACTCAGTCTTGTACCTTACCAGTGCTTCTATGAGAAATTTACTCTAGTATCAGGGTTTGTTTGTTCTAGGAAATTTGGACAAAACAGCCTGGTGTTTTTTTCTGGGGGACAAGCAGGGACTTAAACAATAATTGCTTATTATTGAAAGAAGAGAATCTTTCTAATGTTATTTTCTAAAATCATTACATTTGCCATTAGCAAAATCTTTTTGGGTTGGGTGAAATCTTGTGTATTTCATAAAGAAATGTGTCAAATGATCTTTGTTCTCTGAAATTAAAGTTTTTCCAAACAAGATGTGAGTGATAGAGCTCTTGTCGCCATAGCCATTAACTACCTGAAATTATCGTGATGGAAGTGACCTTAGAGATCATATAATACAACCTTTCCTGTTTGTTTTTAGATTTGTCTTTGTAAATACATACATTAAGAAGTGTTTAAAAACAGGATCTAATTAATTTTGGATCTTACCCTTCAAACTCTTAAAAAGAACAAGAGTCTCTCTGGGATAGCAGTACTTATAAAACATTTTATTGGAATTTTCTTTACACTTTATATTAAATTTATAAGTGTAGCACGTTCCCATTAATGTGGAAGAATTTCATTTCTTTCTACCCCTAAAAATAGTAGGAATTGTGTGAATTTCCTTTTTTATATACTAAACTGGGAAAAATATCACAGTGCCTCTCCTAAGAAGGTGGCAGTCAAGTTTTCTATGATGTCAAAGTGAACCTGGGTAATTTCCGCCCCTCCAGCCATTCATTGTTGAAATTATCCTATTTTAAAAGTCAGTGAGTTAGAAATGTTCATAAAGTCACTTCTAATAGTAGCAAAATCTAGAAATTACTTGCTATAGTGGATAAGTAAATGGCGGTATAGTCACATATTGGAATACTGTACATAAGTGAGAATTATTAATGTTTAAAACAAGTTAAAATTGCAGCAACAATATGGATTAATCCCAGAAGCATAATGTTGAGTGAAAGATGCCAGATGTTAAATGTATATAATCGTATGGTCCTATTTATATAAAGTTTCAAGGTGGGCAGTATCAGTCCAAGCTGTTAGAAGTCAGGATCTTGTCCCCAGAGAGAGAGAAGTGCCCGAAGGGGACCTGAGGGAATTTCTAGGATTCTGGTATGTGATTTTGTGATTTGTTTTGTTACATGAGTATGTATTTTGTAGAAATTCATAATTCGTGTACCTTTTCTTATGTAATGCTTCAGTAAAAACAACATTAAAGTCAAGAGCTTCTATTAAATGGAAAATAATGTATGTACTGTGTGTTTATTTAGTTGGAGATGAAGGACAAAAAGTCAGGAAGAACAAACAGGAAGCATTTCCAACACTGGAGACTGTGTTCACAAAACTTCAGCTCCTTTCTTATTTTGATCAGCATCAAGTGACATCTCAGGTGGCCATTTAAAACTATTTTATTATGCATTTAAGATATTCATATTTCCTGAAAAATCTTTTAGACAATATATGTTTTTAGCCTTAGTTTGTTTTTAAATATGTTTTTTAAACCTATTGGGAGGCATCTCAAACTATTGAGTAGTTCAATTTTAAGTAACAGGTTGCCTTCCTCAGAAGAGTTCATTTTTATCATGAAAATATTTTTACTTTTTGGTAATAATCATACTATATAAAATAATCTTTAATGCAATACTTATTATATTATGGTCCTACATTGATATTGTTAAAGGAGAAATCTGTTGATGGCTGAAATAAAATACTATGTAATTGTGAAGAAATCAAATGTTTTGTTTTACAAATCCATTGATATCAAATAAATAGATGTAACTTGGAAAGCAATTAATATTTGTAGTCCTTCCTTTAGGATAGTTATATCTTGATCTTTATGACAACTTGGCTTATTTTTTCAAATATAGCTATAGTAAGGAAGTTGATTTGTACATGATTTTCTGATCTCTGTAGAAATGTTTTCTCTAAGTAGAATCACATATAAATTCACATTTCTTAAAAAATAAAATAATTTAATAAATTATTTAGAATATTGATCTTATAATTATTTTCACTTTTGTTTGCACAGATCTCTAACAATGTGCTAGAACAAATCACTAGCTTTGCATCAGGGACATCCTATCATCTCCCTTTGGCTCACCACATTCAGCTCATCTTTGACCTCATGGAGCCAGCACTGAACATCAACGGATTAATTGACTTCGCAATACAGGTGTCAAAGAGACCCTGCTTCTCTCGTTGTTTTAGGAAAACAAACCTACCAGGCATCATACAACTTAAAATGAGCCACCAGTGCGTTTTTGAATAATTGAGACATTCTGGAAAAAACTGTATTCACTTAGCATTTTAATTGCAACTGTGTTCATATTTTTTAATTAAATAATCATAAATATATATATGAAATTATATATCATAGTCATTTAAAAAATGTGAGCATTTTGAGAGTAATTTTTTTGTCGTAATTTTGCTGAGGAAAGGTGAAAGTTTATTTGCTGTTAATAATAGAGTATATTTTAGGGTAAGAGCAAAAAAATAAAACCTTATAATTTGATTTGCCCTATATTTCTTATATATATACTGGAGTTTATTTATTATCTTATGTTGGTAGTAAACAGAAATAAAAGTTGGTTTCTACTCCTTATTCTATTGGAGGTGTTAGCTTTGTTAATAACAAAATAGTGATAAATAACTTCTGTTTTATTAAAAAGAAGGGAAAAATGAAAAAAAATGAGAAGTGGCATGCTTTTCTCTGAAATTATCCAGCCCAGAACTTTGGGCCACCATAAAATTTTATTAACTGTTCTAGTATTGAGTACTTTTTGATTGCATATGTACCATGATGTCTAGACAAGAAAATCCCTAATTTGATAAGAGATTAAAATTAAAAACCAGTTTAATTCACTGGGGTGTGTTTTCTGTGACTGTGGTTATGCATGTACATGATCCTGGGGCAGGATAAAGTGAGATCAAGTAGTGTTAGAATAACTCACTATATCCATGGTTTTTAAAAGCAAATGTTTTCCTATTTGTTTTGGCAGCTATGTTTTTATTCAACCTTTTCTCTCCTTGTAGCTACTAAATGAACTGAGTGTTGTAGAAGCTGAACTGCTCCTGAAATCTTCCAGCCTGGCAGGAAGTTACACAACGGGGCTGTGTGTCTGCATTGTGGCTGTTCTCAGGCGGTACCATAGTTGTCTGATCCTGAATCCTGATCAAACAGCCCAGGTGTTTGAAGGGTTGGTATATGTAATATCATTATTGTTTCTCACATCCTAGAATGTATAATTTGTGATGAAATATTATAGTAGTTTCAAGAGAAAAATAGTACTGATTTATTTCAATAAGAAAATACAAAGCAGCAGTCCTCAACCTTTTTGGCACCAGGGACCAGTGCTTCTATGAGAATCTAATGCCTGATGATCTGAGGTGGAGCTGAGGTGGTGATGCTAGCACTGGGGAGCAGCTGCAGATAGAGATGAAGCTTAGCTCGCTCTCCCACTGTGTGGCCGAGTTCCTAACAGGCTACTGACAGGTACCGGTCTGCAGCCTGGGGACTGGGGACCCCTGATGTAAAGAATACATCTGCAAGGACACATTCATCAAAGGAGTTATTGGCATGAAACATATGTTGTTTTTTAATAAAGTGTGATTCCTTCCTCCCTTCTTCATTTCCTTCTTGACTTCCTTCCCCTTAGTCTCCACCAATATAAGCCAGTCATTTATAGCCCATCATCTGTGCTATCCAGCATCATGGGTTGTTATGAATGGTGAATATGTTACGACTTCTTTGTTAATGTAATTTCAGTTTATATTTGGAGAAATAGCTTTGCATGCATTGTCATCTTAAAGGTTTACTTTAATTTCATTTTTTTTAATAAACTAAAGCTGTCTTTTGATAAGATTAATCTAGAACAAGCAACTTTCTCGATTCTTAGTCTTTTTTTGGTTTGTGTGGATTGTAAGCTAAGATTTTTCTCTACTACCACTAGTAAAATTGGGCTAAATAATTACCTAATGTTATCCCCATTAGATGTTGAGGTTACAGGGACCTGAGAAGTACAGTGAGCTCTCAGAAACCCTATACTAAGCTCCTTTTTGTCCAATGCAGACTCCTTTCTCCAGGGCATGTTATATGAAAAAAGACAACCTGTTCTTCCATTTTCCTTCTGGGCTCAGAAGAAACCTCGGTTTCTTTGGTTCTGTAGTCCTCTTTTGTTCTTGTAATCAATTTATACTCTGTTCCAGAGTGGCATCCACAGTAGCTTTTTGGGGGGAAAGAAATGCAACCACATTAATTTTACACATAGATTATTAAGTGAAATCTGAAACATCCAGATATTTTTAAATGTAAGAAAATTGACATGTTAGAATTCAGGAAATAGAGAACTATTGAATAACCCTCAACTACCCTGTAAGCTGAATAATTAATAATACCATTTGGAATTCAAGAGACTGAAACTTGGGCCTGTTAAATGAAATACTTAAATGATGTACTCAACATCAAATAGCTAAAAAATCTCCCAGACTGCTAAAAGTTTTTCAAATTTGGAGTTTATTCATGCTATTTAATTTATACTATACTTTTTAAACTGGTCATGAAATGAATATAATAGGTTTTAATAAGTATTTTTCTTTTTTTATTAGGTTAAAATTTATTTCTGTATCATTTATTTTGACATTTTAAATTCATGTTCTAGTAAATGTTCATAAAATCATATTTAATATTAGCCTTATTATATTTTAACTTTACCATACATAGTAAGGATAACTATTTTACCCAAAATTATTATTTTGTTTTTTTCATACTTACAAGAATGAATATACAGGATCTCAATTTAAAATGTTTTTCTTACATGTAGGAAAAACATTTTAAATTGAGATCCTGTATATTCAGGAATCACTGACTGCTATATCGTGGATACCTAGCAAACTTTCAATAAGTATTTATTTACTTTAATCACAAAGTAATTCTTTGCTTTTTAGGTTATATCTGGAATTTTTTTGTTTATAATGTTAACAATCGAGTATATTTTTCTTAATGGCATGCCACTTTTGCTGTAACTGACAGCTTTTACCAGCTGCCTAGTGACCCCATCTGCTGATGTCAGTTCACAGGGTTTGGGATGCCCCATTGCCATTTCCTAACGTAGTGGCCTGAAGTTCCACCTCTGGTTTTTGTAATTTGCGATTTCTTCTTAGCCTTGACATCCTAGATTCCCTCTGGCTTCCTCCTGTTCCCTGAGTAGTAGAGTGAGCTCTGGACTGGGAGTATGGAGACCTAAGCTCTCCTCTTGGGTCTACTATGAACTAGCTCTTTGCCTATTGGCAAATCGCTTTACCTTTCTGAGCCTTAGAGCCCTTCTGTGAAATGAAGAGGATGAATCTTGATTTCTAAAGCATATTTCAGCTTTAATAATCAGAGTCATCTATAACACTGTTTATTAATAGATGACTATTAAGGCTGAACCCTGTAACAGGGTAAAAGATGGTAGTGGAATCAGACTCACATATATGTGAATGGACCACTTTTGTTTACTTCTGTGTTCTATGAACTATGGCCAAAGGGGCCACAGTTCTGATTTGGGGAAAATGGCACCAACTGGAATGGTAATGGTACTTCTGAACTGAAAGACTTACTGAGACTGTCACTAAAAAGAAGGGGTTTTAAATTTTTATGTAAGATAAGCTAAAATTTGTTTCTAGTTTGGATAAACAAGGGAAATGTGACCTCAAACCATGAATTTATTGGGTTCATGCCAGAACCAGCTTATGGTCTTGAAAATGAATTTCCCAGATTTACTGATTAGAAGAATTACTCTTTTTCAAAGGAGTGGGTTTGAGGATCTTCGAAAATTTACTGAATTTGTGAATCTTTTTACCGAACAGAGATTCTCTACTTCATTTTTTCTTTTGTGTTCTAGTCACAGCAACTTTATTGTTGGGTTCCTCCATTTTATCTTCTGTATGGAGGAATTTCTTTTGTTTCTTGTTGTTAATGACATTTCTGAAGTTTTAAAAAAGTATCTAGTGTTTTAATATCATAATAGAAACTGATACTTTGCTCATTTATTCACTATTGCTATAATGTTTAGTGTCGACACTCCGATATCTTTTTTCTTGCCCAAGTAATAAATGGACATATTTTCATTCTAAAATATTCAAACAATAACATATATATTAGCAAAATATACGTCTCTTTTCTTCACATGTTTTTCTCAGGTTGTGTGGTGTGGTAAAGCATGTTGTGAACCCCTCAGAATGTTCTTCTCCTGAAAGATGCATCTTAGCCTACCTCTATGATCTCTACGTATCATGTAGCCACCTCAGAAGTAAATTTGGAGACCTCTTCAGGTGCGTAAAAGACAATCAAAAGAATAGAAGCAGGATTATGTCTCTATTTGTGAGTGACTCAACCAAGATTGCCATCCTTTTTAATAATGAAAGTTAATCATAATTATATCTGCCACAATTCATCTTGAGTTACCTTTTGTTGTAGCTATAACCTCTCATTACAAATTATTATTCATGTTTAGATATATTTGAAATTTTGAGATAAACTTGAAAATATATTTTATGTTTTGCATTTGCTATTACCTCACTCGGAACGTTGTTTCTCCTCCATTTGCCCACTTGCTCACTTTGATTCTTTCCTCTCTTGACCATCTGTTTCAAACAGCATCCCTGACTCCCTATCATTTTCTGCATCATAGCACTTACTACTTCCACAGGTAGACAGGTGCTGGAAAATACACACTTATTTAATGCTATTTTGAGGAAATTTAGGTTATTAATTGTAAGAGACAGTAATCACTGGCAAAATAAATTTAGAATCTAGAAAGAGGTAAGGAAAGCATGATCAATTCCAGTTTTCTTTGCCTTCTCATACCTTGCATCCAGTTTGCTTATAAGTCCTGTGAGCCCTGCCTTCCAAGTGTACCTGGAATCTGACCACTCTTCATTGTTCTGCCACTACCACCATGGTCATCTCTTCATTAGACCATTGCCGAGTCCTTTTAACTGGTTTCCCTGCTTGCTCCCCTGACTCTCTTGAGCATATTATCAACATATCTACTGAAGTCATCCTTTTAAAATAAGAATAATTTAAAGTTTTCCAATGGCTTCTTATCTACTCCAAATAAAATCAAAATCCTTATCTAGCCTTCAGGATTGACTGGACCCGATTTTCTCTTCTACTTCTTCCCCTCGGTCCGTTTTATTCTACCCTCATGGACCTCTTTACTGGTCTTCAAAGACTAAGCACCTATCTGGGGGCTTTTGCACTTGCTCTTACCTCTGTTGTTATGTTTTTTTCCCAGTTACTTGGTGCTCACCTCCATAGTTCATTAACGGCTCTACCTCCCTGACCATCCTATTTTAAATACCACCTCTCTCCCCTTACTCTCTCATTCTCTAAACCTTAGCACTTATTAACCCCGGGTACATTTTATGTTTATTTTTGGCCTGGCTTCTTCCTGGAGTGTAAGCCTCATGAAAGCAGAAACTTTTTATATTTTCTTTCCTGCCGTGTCTCAGTACCTTGAAGAGTGTCTGGCTCATAGTAGGCACTGCAAAGAAATCTGTTGGATAAAAGATACATAACAAAATGTCATGGTATTTTTAATGGTATTGATAGGGGAAAAATGTGAACGTATGTCTTCATGAAATAAGTGAGGTTTCAAAATAATCCCTTATAGAATGTTTGAGTGAGTCTTAGGGAAATGTCTTTCACGGGAATTATGTGTAATAGTAGTCAGACCATGTGTTCTGTGGTTTCTTTACAGAGAGCTTTCAGTTTCAGTTTACAGTTTTTAAAGAGCTTTCTCATACATGATTTAGTTCTTGAGACAGCCCTGTTTTTAACAGCAAACTTCCCAAGAAAGCCCCAATAACCTATTTTACCCAATTCTGCTCCTTCAGGGTGCACAAGTATGTTAAATGAGTTAATTCAAGTAACGTACACTGGATGTGTGGAGATTTAGGAGACTAGCAATGAACTGAGGGGCTGCTTGGATCAGCACAGTGGCGCATTACAGAGAGTGACACTGTCTAAATTTGTCTCAACTGAACAAGTGGAAGAGAATTTCTGCTTTTTCGGGAAAACTTGATATCAGACAGTATTATAGTTTGGGATTAAGAAAAATGGTCAAATAGAAGCTAGATATGTGGAGAGATTTCTGTTAGTATACTACTAAAACAATTTTAATAATTGGATCTGAGACACCATCTAAAAGTTGTAGAAAAAGAATATTTGGGGGACATAAAGCACTAATCACATCTACCACTGATTGAACTGCGGCTGTGTGCTAAGCACTATGCTGAGTTATTTCCATCGAGATCTTTAATCTGCCCAACAACCCAAGGAAGTAGATTTTTCCTATGTACAAATGATCATTCCTCATCATAAGTTAATGAAAGATGAAACTTAGATTTGAATATAAGTCATTTTGCTTCCAGGTGTGTGTTGCCTTCATTACTCTATCAGTTTTTTTTTCTGATACATGCAGTCTCGGAAGGAAAATGCCTGTTAATTTTTTAATTCCATATATGCCTTCAACAGAGAGTGCTAAAAATTTGAGAGCAGCCTAGATGGCAGCTAACTTTTTATTAAAACATAAAAGCTCACAAAAGAGTGTAATATGAAAAGGAAGCCTACAGATGAAGGGTGAGGAGACTTTACCATGGGCCGTAGAGTTCAGAAAAATGCAATCCAGGCTGAAGGTATGAGAGAGTCAACGCGAGAGAAATCTCTATACTGATAGAAAAGTAGAGGCTGAATCTTATGAAATTTAAGAAAGAAAAGTAGAATTCTTTTGTTTTTTAAAGACAGGTATGAATGGATTGTTAGAATTTAGTGGAAAGTTGAATTTAAAAAAAAAGTGCTTTACTATTTGCAGAAGTCTATTTCATTCAATACTCGGTATATTAGGAGGTAGAGGAAACCAGGGATGTGGTGTTCTGGAGGGAGGCAGCAAAGTGCATGGTTTGTTTTTGTTTCATTTTTAGTGGGGAAGTGAAACAAATTAAGAACTATTGCAAAGAGAATGAATGAAAAGTTGAGTAGAAATTGTGGTAAGACAGGAAAGGGGAGATTTTCAAAGCACTGAGGACTACATAATGTCCATCATTTTGAACAGGTTATGACTCCAGATCGCAAACTCGTATCCTTCAGTGACCACTGATCAGATTTTACATAAGTTGTCTGCAAAGAAAGGTAGAAGATTGTAATTGTTGCTGTTTAGCGGGTAGCTTCAGTCCTCTCCATTGGACCAGCGCTTCTTCAAGAGTTATTTGGCAGATTACCTGGGACAGTTTTTCTTAAACATACCGATTCAGTAAACCTATAGTGAGACCCAGCAGTCTCAATTTTTAACAGATACCACAGAGATGATTCTGAAGGAGGAGGTCTGAAGTCACATTTTGGCAAACACTGAACTGAAAAATCTCTTATTTTCTTAAAGCAGTTGGCAATGGGAACAGTTTAGGGTAAAGAGTTATTTCATGCCTTTTCATTTTTAAGGAAATCATTCCTGGCTATTATTTATATAAATGTGTAAGACTGGGGATGGGGGTTAGGGAGAAGCCATATGTCCCCTACTTCACAAATAAATTTGATGCCAAAAACTTTATCTAAAAGAAAAAGGCTTTCTGCTGTTTAAAGGAGCTCTTGAGTAGAGATGAATGCTGCTTACGAACTTACTATGCACAGCAAGTCGGCAAGAATAGCTGAGTGTATATGGAATCTCAGCTTTTAAATCAGATCATCCTTCAGCCTCATCTGCAGAGCTGGAGTGGATCAGATACTTTATAATTCCCTTTGTACTTCCAATATGCTAGGTCTTACTCAACTGTAACTCACTGAAATATGCACTGTTTTCGTGTGATAAACCAGCCTCTTAAAAATCTCTTAATATAACACAACGTGTACATTTTTTAGGAACGACATAATGGTTTCTTTACTCTCATTGAATTTGTGTGTTATCCATATCCCCCTACTGGAATGTAAGCTCCTTGAAGGCAGAGAATAAGCCTCTTTTTTTTTTTTTTTTTTCACAGCTGTATCACAGTGCCCAGAGTAGCCTTGGTACATGAACTTCAACTGGATGCTTAAAGGGATTGTTTTGCAGGATGTAAAATTAGGACTGAAACACCATATTATTTCTGATGTGCAATCTAATTTTTATTCTTAAGTAATAACACTTTCCACCTACTGTTCAGAGACAGTTGTTGGAAGGCTTAGTAAATTATTTTTGGAACATGTAGAATGTAAAAAAGATGAGAAAGTAATTAAGATTAGTAACCAAATGTCTTATTCTTGTTTTGTTCTTCAACTCATTCAGCAACTGTTTGAGCAACTACTACATCCCAGGCATTGTGTCCAGTGCCGATATTTAAGAAGTTGGAATCAAGAATGTCTTCTTAACATTACAGTTGCTGCCATTTAATCTGTCCTTAAATGAAATAACTTTCTTGTTATTCTAGTTTTTTGTTTTTTAAACTCTTCTTCTTGTAACCTCAGTAGTGCCTGTTCAAAAGTTAAGCAGACCATATATAATAATGTGATGCCTGCAAATTCTAACTTGCGATGGGATCCGGACTTCATGATGGATTTTATTGAGAATCCTTCGGCCCGTAGTGTCAACTACTCAATGCTGGGAAAGATCCTTAGTGACAATGCGGCCAATCGCTACAGCTTTGTCTGCAATACACTCATGAATGTATGTATGGGCCATCAGGATGCCGGAAGGTGAGCTGATTAACCCTGGAATTGACGTTTAACCACACAGTTGTTGCTTTGGTGCCACTTTGAAATTAACTCTTTAATAATTGCCTAGGCTGACATTTGGATGTTGGTTTTTTTGTTTTTTCATTTTTTCATATTCTTTTATTCCTGAATTCGCCTCTGCTCTGTACCGTAATTTCCTTACTTGAGAGACAAAAACATATATAATAAAAACATAAATAAAAAATACCTATATTTTGAAAACACTGTATTTAGGCCTACCTGAATTACTTAGTTTAAGTTTTTGATGCCCTTAAAAATGTAAATTTATAGGTCAGTTTGTTCACAGAACTAAAAATATAATTGACATCTATATTGATTACTATTTGTTGCTCAACAGCATTAAATGCTCGAAAGCATTTGAAGCCATTTACTTTTATCTTCTGCACCAGATTCTACTAGGTCATTTGACAATAATAATATATTTATTGTATTCTTGAATATAAGATATGAATGACTTGTTTGATGATAGTGAAATATGTGTTCCTCAAGAATATTACATGTGAGTATTTCTCTTTTGTTACTTTCTACTACCTATATTCTTTTTCTTCTTTCTAGGATTAATGACATTGCCAATTTCTCCTCCGAGCTGACAGCTTGCTGCACTGTTCTTAGTTCGGAATGGTTGGGAGTTCTGAAGGCTCTTTGTTGTTCTTCAAATCATGTCTGGGGGTTTAATGATGTACTTTGCACTGTAGATGTAAGTTTTCTTTTTCACTTAAAAACTCAACTGGACAATCAAATATTTAGTTAGTAAATTTTTTAAATTGACTTAACTCTCAGCTGAAATGTAAAATATTTTTTCCTTCTCTCTCCAAAAGCAATAAACCAGAGTATGGTTGCTAAGGATTAAGTAAATTTAAAAAAAAAAAAAAAATGAAATGAAAAAGATAGCTTAATCTATAGCAGAATTCCCTTATTTGCCAAGAATTCCCTTATTTGTTAGCTGAGATTTTTTTTTTTTTTAAATATAGTCTCTTCAGAGCTATTTGTTTGTAGTTTTTATGAATTGCTTTGAGTTCTTCATGGCACAGGACATAATTTAACTGAAGCAGTTTATGTTCTGAAGAAAATCACTTTTTTTTTTTTTAAATAAAGATGCACTCTAGGAATATATGTTCCATTGTATTTTATAAGAATGTGCAGGCTTAGATTCATTGGAGTGTTAAGTCTTTCTTAGTGATTGTGTCTATAAGTGATGAAGAGATACCTGTTATATATCACTTATTTTCTTGAATATCGTATTGCATCTATGTTATGTGAATTTCTCAAAAACGCATCTTGATACTTTATTTTGACCTACCACTTCTTGTAGAAATCCATCTTGTATGTTAATATATCTTACATATAGAAGAATTTTACACATTTTAAAAACTATCTTCCAGTTGAAGTTTTTCTTCCTGGTTCTGATATCTCACGACTGGGTAGACGATCCTACTCCATTCTATGAATACCTAAGGTTTTATATATGTAAAACTCCTATCTATGGCCTGCTTTTCCAGACAGAAAAAATCCAAATTTTTATTTTTAACATTGTTCTTAACTTCTTGGTTGTTTTTGTTATACTTTTCTTCTGCTTTGTTTCTTCATCTGTAAAATTGGAATTAATAATAGTATGAACCTCACAGAGCTGTGCTATTAAATGAAGTGATCTTCGTAGAATACTAACTATAGTCGCTGGCATATACTAGAACTTAATGCAAAGGCTGCTATTACACCTCAGGTTTTTATTATTATTTTCTGCCAAATCCTTGTGAGATCCATAAAGGTAGGTGTTTAACTATGAATGAATTAACTTTTCTCTCTCTCTTTTTTAAATTTAGGAGTCAATTATAAATTTTCAGAGCTACTTTTAAAACTAATTCAATTATAGTTATTAAAGGCATATTATTTGTTGTCTCTGAAAAGAACTGCAAAACATTATTGAGACTAGTTTTTCTTTGCTTCCTAATGGTAACCTTTAAATGACAGATCACACTGAATTCTGCTTAAAATTTTAATTCTGCTACATCTTTTAGGGATATTTTGATTTTGCTTTTTTGTTTCCTTTTTCAATTATACGTGTTCAAGTTAAAGCTCAGTATCTTCTTACAGCATTGGGATGCGGGGATGCAGGCATCATTCTTTGTCTCATAAAATAAAAAGTGGCCTAGAGGATAATAATCATGATAAGTTAATATTTCACTCTATTGGTTCATTTTGGGATTTGAGATCTTAGAAATTAATCTTAGATATTATTTAAGAGGGTGTTAGGTATTAAAACATGTCCATGTTTTTCTTGAAGGTGAGCGACCTTTCATTCCATGATTCATTAGCTACTTTCATTGCCATTCTGATAGCACGACAGTGTTTTTCCCTGGAGGATGTCGTGCAGCACGTTGCACTTCCCTCTCTCCTCGCAGCAGGTAAGGCCGCATCCAGGAACGGCATGCATTATCTGATTGTTGTCTTGTGGGATGGTTTCTAACTGATGAAACACAGTGAAAGTAGTGTTTAACAGCGCATGCATTGGGCAGTGGTGTGGCATCGAGGTAAAGATGGTAAAATTGTAAATGTTGTTCGATACAAAGTAGTATGGCTAACCATGGAAAAGGTTGGAAACTACTATTTTAGTACCTCTTTTTGAGGAAGCACGTACACTCAGGTTTCTCAGAAAAGCATAGCCGGTATCTTACTTTTTATCTCAAGGAGCATTTATTTAAATTAGTCTAGAAAATTTAGCTTAATAGAAAACCTGAAGACGTGTTCTTGCATTTGTTAGAAAACTTGCTTTCGAAATCCTTCTTTCCTAGCTTGTGGAGATGCGGATGCGGAGCCTGGGGCGAGAATGACATGCCGGCTCTTGCTTCATCTCTTCCGAGCTCCCCAGGCCTGCTTATTACCCCAAGCAACGGGTGAGCTGACAGCTGAAAAAGCTCTGATTATGCTTTCATTTGGAGCTATAGGTTCTAAAATGGTCAAGTAGGATGTCCATTCTGTAATTTCCTTCCTGATTTGGTGGGCTTGCTTCAAGATGATGGAGTTCAATAATGCCATTGAGAGGGCTGTCAGCACCTTTCATTTATATAATCTCAGGATGTATTGAGAAACTCAAATGCAGCGTTAATAAACAATAAAAATACTTTTGCTCTTAGGCTAAACCATGTTGGTGGGCAGCATGATCTTCTAACATACTATGCATGTTGGTTATGAACCACACCATAGCAACTTAGGGCAATGGTGATTCATTTATTCTTTTAGTAAGGTAAAAGGAATAAGATAAATTCAGGAGTGTTACTGTAGTCTGTTCCTAAAGATCATTTTCACATGGGGGGAATGTGTGTGCGTGTATTACAATCAGCATAAGTGGATGAAAATCCTAATTTTTTTGACACATCTCTCTAAGAAGCAAAGATATCATTTTAATTATTAAAAAGAAAAGGTGTTAAGCAAGGAATACTGGCAATGTTTCATAGTGAATGCATGAGGCATCAGTTAAACCTAGATAATGGCAATTAAGCACCACAGTTTAAAAATGAAAGCCCCTGCTGACAGTAAATGGTTACAAAAGACTGTTAATGATAGTGATAGACGATTAAAGGTTTGTTTTTGTTATCATAGGCAAACCCTTCCCGGGAATAAGATCATCTTGTGATAGACATCTCTTAGCTGCTGCTCACAACAGCATCGAAGTGGGAGCTGTGTTTGCTGTTTTAAAAGCAATCATGATGCTTGGTAAGACTATCCTGGCATTAAGCTTGGTTAATCACCAGAAATGATGGCAAAATAATTTGTATTTAGGTTTAACTCTGTCTAATATTATTAGAAACATGTTTTTTATTGTTGTTCTCCTGGAAAAATTAGTTGGCTTTTCCCAAGTCCAAGTTCAGTTGGACCCTGAGGAGTCTGTTGCTTACCTACAACTGTGGGGTATTTAAATATAATACTCCTTTTTGGTGACATTTTAACTACAGGTTGTCTGATTCTGACATGATATAGATCCTCAGACGCACTGGGTTGTTTTGCCTTCATCCGTTACACTTTGTGATGGACACAGATGACTGTGTGATCTAACCAAAGATTTAAATTTCATATTATATTTCAGGATTAAAACACTAGAAAACCTGGGTTTTAATTTTAGTTTTTCTGCTTCCGTTATGACCCGGAACAAGTTCATTTCCTTTTGCTTTGATTTTCTTATAAATCAGGTGATAATTGCAATTATATTGATATTATTGATAAATCAGTATTACGTATCATAATTTTTTAAATTCATAATGTCCGAGATGTCTCTTTATTTTTATTGGTACATATTCTCCTGGAGTAGTACTACTGACTTTTCTGTTCATTTATACAATGCCTTAGATATTTTTATTCTATTAATCAGTTAAGATTTGAATGATTTGGCAAGCCTTTAATTCACACTGCCTAATTCCAATTTTCATTACCCTCTTTTAGCCTTGACTAAACAGAAGCTATCTCTTATATTCCAAAGGATCCCTTTTGATTAGAACAAATTAGTGAGTGGGTAAGAATTATTTTAGATAAGTCTTAAAGAACATGTTTGAAGATATCCCTTTATACTCCTGCTTGAGAAGCGTTATTTGGTGACGACAGGAAGGAAAAGAGGGTTTTCATAAAACAAATTATTAAAGTTTACTTAAAAAAAGTATATATATACACACATACACACACACACACACACACACACACACACACCACAAATGTACATATATATGTAGATAGGCAACACTTATAAATACTTACAAATTTTGTAGTAAAAAAAAAGGAAAGATAGAGTCACATAGAGAGCTACAGCCTTCCTCTGAGCTTAGGAGCTTGTAGTGTTATACAGCCTACATTATGTTGGAAGGAAAAATGGCTGGTCAGTTCTACTTAATAAATGAATATAGAGACTATGATGTCAGAGACTTACTTTTTTACTGTGGTATCTCTAACGTCTGTTAGAGGAACTAAATAGTAGGTTTTCAATAAACTAATGTTGAAAGTATGAGTGTATAAGTGATAGACATTTTAATGGCAGAAACCAAGATGAGTGCGATTTAGACATTGTCCCTTTGATTTAGAGGTCTGGTTGATCCCAAGTAAAATTTGGAACCTCTTTAAATATCCAAATAAGCATATTTTAACATCCATGCATAATCACCAGTTCGTTTTTCTTTGGTTGTCTCACCTTGACCTTTTTAATCAGCCTCAGCTCTTGGTAGATTCTACAGCTTTCTAAGCGTTGGAGGAGGCAGGTCTGAGAAGTCAGGATCAAGCGAGTTAAATGTCAGCAGAGCCTTGGACCAGCAGTCACTGCACACTCTCTTTGTTCTACTATCTGTATGACTGCAGAAGGTTCTGGCGCAGCCTCCCAGGCCTTCTCTGTCATCTAAACATCTAAAGTAATCTAGGATCTCCTAGTCTGGCACTAGCAGAGGCGTTCGTTTCTTTGTTTTTGTTTTTGTAGAGATTTTAATTTATCTACCTCTCAGCATGTCCTAAACAATGTTCTCTCAAGTCCTATCTCCTAGGATCTATTTTGAGTTAGGGAGATAAGACTATTTTATAGAATTTGGTTTCCAGTTTTTAGACTAGTTTAACTTAAGGTTTAAAAATAGTTGTTTATGTTGCCAAAGGTTGTAGGAAGCATGCTAAAATTGTGATACATGTAGAATTTGGTCTTTCTTTCAGCTTCTGAAGAACTCTGTTGAATTAAATAAACTCCTGTGGGTGAAGTGAAATTGGTACTTTTTGTATGTACATTTTAATGAGAAATGTATGATAACATATAGTAGGATATTGATGAGTGAAATGCCCTGTGTGTTCCTACCCTCCTCTTAACGATTTTGTAAGTAATTAGTAAGCCATTGTGATTTCTCACATTTTTTTCAGCAGAGTCAAACTTTTTCTTGGTTGACCTGTGGGTTTTAAAAGGCTTTTTGCAGTGACCTAGGCTTGATTTTGCTCACAATGAGGGCAATGAGGGCCTCCTCTAAATTTATTTATTGGTTCCAGGAAATTTTCTCTCTCAAGGCTTATGATCCTGTGGGTAAACAGGCAAAAGTTTGGAGACTCTGTTGTCATTTGACAATCTTTATTACCAAATTATTTTACTCTTTCACTTTTAAAATATATCAGTTACTTGTCTTTCACGGCTAGAGAAGACTTCTTATTTCTAGATATTCAATCATACTGTTCAGTTATTTCCACTGGAACTTTGTTATGAGGGAAACACTTTCCTTAGTGTCATTTTACTTGAGTATATTAGAGATTGATGAGGTGAAGTTTTCTAATTTGGATGTTTACAGAGAGGAAAGTGAAAGACATGGGTTATTCAATGAATGCCCTATTTTCCAGGGCTTCCTTAGTATGCATTGCCCTTTTCCATTCCCAGGGAAATAAATCTCTCTTGTCAAGAAGTTGATAGTAAGGTGGGCTAAGGCAAAACTTTTCTCTTGACCTATGGATAGAAAATAAGTCATTGTAAGAGAAGAAATGGAAAAGGGACATCTAGAAGGGTGAGTAACCCATTTTTTCCTTGTCTGTAAGTCAAATGAATTTGAATACATTCATGCTTGAAATATTGGTGAAATCAATGTTCTGTGATTATTAAGTGTGATTCATAATGGCCTTTCCAAGTTTGGTGAAAGCATACTTAATTCTGTTAACAAAATAGGGGTTGAGTCTTGAACTTAACTTCTCCCCCCCACCCCCATGTCTGATGAAACTTCTCTGGGTTCTCTCATTTATCCTCTTGATTCATTTTCTGTATTGCTGAACAACTGGCTTTGTAATAATGAAACCATTCACATACTTTAAATCCCTGAAAGCATACTTTATTTACTTCTCAAATATTTGGCAATACTTTGAACTCGTGTGATTTTACTTTTGTGATTCTGTTATTTAGGAGATGCTAAAATTGGCAATAATAATGTCAGCTCTTTAAAGAATGATGACTTCACCATGAGGGGTTTACGACGTGATGGGAATGCTGACGATATCTGGACTGCCTCACAAAATTCAAAATCCTGTGGGAAAAGCATTTCTATAGAAACTGCGAATTTAAGAGAATATGCTAGATATGTACTGAGGACCATCTGTCAGCAGGTATTCTTCAGATTTAATTTGCCTTTAACTTTGAATATGTAACTGTTCTTTTGGAGAGAGATTTTCACTATTATATGAAACTTATAATAGGTGGTCCTGTTTTTCTTGCTAACTTTATTTTGAAATAATTTCAAGTTTGCTGAAAAGTTGCAATAAAGAAGTCTAGTATATCCTCTAGATTCACTAATTTTTTACATTTTGCCATATTTGCTTTATAATTCTGTGTATGAATGGGGGTACATATAATTTAAAGTCTTTTTGCTGAACCATTTGAAAGTAGATGGGATACATTATTCTTTTTTACTTTTTAATACTTTAGCTTCTATTTATTATAGAATATAACCAAAATACAGTTATCAAAAATCAAAAAATCAAAAAATTTAGCATTGGTGGAATAGTTTTTTCTCACCTATAGGCCACATTCCAATTTTGTCAATTGTCCTGATAATGTTGGATTTGTCTGAAGTTTCCTGTAGATTAGCTTCAGATTATGTATTCTCATTCAAGATACTACAGGAGTAATTTTGTGTTCTCAGGTAATCACATAGGAAGGCACATGATGTCCATTTGCACCTCATTGGTGATGTTAATTATGATCAAGATGTCTCCATTGTGTAGGATTGCTCTACTGTATCATTATTTTTTCTCTTGAAATTAATGTAGTCTTTGGGGAGACACTTTAAAAGAATGCAAATATTCAGCTCCTCATCAAACTCTCTTACCATCCATATAGCATCCATTTTTATTCTTGTCCAAACCAGTCTTCATACGATGATAAAAAAACGGTGATTTTCTTTTTCTCCAAATCCTCTACTCCCTCCATAATTATCAGTTTGCATTCTTCCCTAAAGAAGGCCTGCCCTCATTTGTTTTTTTCCTTACTTACATTTATTTATTTTCCACATGGATTATAATGTACTGTCCTTAGCTATTTTCATGTTCAAATTGTCTCAGGTTTTTCCTGTAGGAATCTTTTCATGCTGGCTCTTATGTTATTTTGATACATCTTCATCTTTCCTTTTTATTTATTTATTTATTTATTTTTAACTTTCTCTGCCCCAGATCTGGAATTATTCATTTCTCCAAGGAACCTCTGGTTCTGTTTAGTAGAGGATGGTATCTACAAACCAAGATTGGGTCACTATGTGTGCTCATTGATTCTAGGCCCTTTCAGCAGACAGAGCTAAGAGAAAAAAAAAAACCATCTGTATACATAAATGTGTGTGTGTAAATCATGAGTTCATATTGATACCTCCAATTCAGTCCAACCCCACAGTTCTTTGCATTCCCCCATTCATATTAATATCACCTCTTCTGCAGTAAGAACCCTGACTCCCAATAACATCAACCTATATGCTCATGTGCGTAATTCTACAGTACACCTGCAATAATTTCAAAATTGCTACACCAATACCACCAGAAGAAACAAGTCTACTAAAAGGAATTGAAGATTTGTTTGTAGTTCTTTCCTTTCTAAGTGTTTACAGTATTGTGTTCAAAAGTTATTTGAACTTTCCCCTTCAGTGTGGCTATGTTATTCATTTGAAATAGAATTGATTTCTTTCATTTCTGTTTATATTCACTTTAGATTTCTTTTTTCTCCCCTAGCTCTATCTTTAGCATGCTGCCCAAGTCAACTATGCACATAGGTGTACTCAGAGATGTGTCCTCTCTTCCCTGTCCTTTCTACCCTTTATCTCTCCATGCTCTGGGTGATCATTTTCATTACTTACTGGTTTAACGTTCCTTTTTAAAAAAATTCTTCTTATTAAAAAAAAAAAAAAAAAAAAACATGCCAGAGCATGGTTTTGGTTTTTCACTTTTCTATAGACATAATATTGACAAGGTCATGTTTTTATTAAGGGATATTATAACCGTGGTTACAGTTAGCTAAATTGTTGTATAAGTATTATTAAGAGAGTATTGAGTTGTGCTTGGTTCCCAGCTGTGAGTGCACTTTAGAATCACCTGGGGAATTAAAAAAAAACAAAAACAAAAAGAAAAAACTTTGATGCCTTAAAAAAATGACTGATGTCTCGGTCCCACTACTTAAGGTTGACTTAACTGATCTGATGTGTGGCCCGGACTTTGGAAGTATGAGACACTGGTATAGTGGTTAAGAAAGAGGTTTCATTTGAACAGATCTGGGTTCAAGTGGACAGTTAATGATTTCTTATCCCACTTAGTATAAGAGTTTTCCTTTGAAAAAATGATGAAGAAAAGGTGATAGGAGTTTAAATTGGCAGAAACTCTCCAGAGGTCAATTAGCCATATATATCAGTAGCCTTAAATTTTTTCTATAATCCTTGACTGAGAAATCTGCTTCTATGAAATTATCCTAATAATTGTACACAAATATTTATTTATAATAGTAACAGTTGTAATAGTATCAAGAGAGGAGACAATTTTCTGAATGTTATACTGTGTTCCATTCAGTATAGTACAATCTATTCCATAAAAATGATGAATACATAGTATAGAATCATTGCCCTTATATAGAAAGTTAAAAACACTCCTTACAAAAGAGTTCCTAGAGCAAGGAACCATTTTCCAATTGAAAACACATACCAATATTTTCTTTCCTTGTTTTGCATATTTGTTTTTCAAAAATTTCTTAAACCAAGGTTTCACTTTGTATTTTTAAGAAGTTAAAACACTAGAAGTTTTGTTTTTAAAACTTCACCACCTACTTATTTTGTGTAACATTTTATTGGAAGATTCCTCATTGTGTGCCACGAACTCAGTACATGTTACATATGCATATAGAAAGTCTCTGCCTATCAGTCTAACTGCTGTGTTGTTTTTAGGAGTGGGTAGGAGAACACTGCTTAAAAGAACCTGAAAGATTATGCACAGACAAAGAACTTATATTGGACCCTGTGCTTTCAAATATGCAAGCGCAAAAATTATTACAGCTTATCTGTTATCCTCATGGCATTAAAGAATGTACCGAGGGGGACAACTTGCAAAGACAGCACATTAAACGCATTCTTCAGGTAAGTGATAATAGCTTAAAGACTGTGTTTTTGTCATTTGACACATTCTTTGTAATTATAACAAAAGTCATTGTCTCTTTGTCATTGCTAACTAATTCTTTTCAACTAATTCAGTTAATTCTGATTTTTTAAAAATTAATTAATTTTTTTAATTGAAATTATTTTAATTTTTTTTCCCCCATCTACCTCCTCCGTCCTAATTCTGATTTTTATTCCCCCCAATTTTTTGTATATAATTGTCACCCTTTATTTGCTGGGTAGATGTAGGTACTGCAAATTGTGTATTGTCATTACATAAATATTGATATTTTAAGTCTGTACAGTATTTACATGAAAACTAAGCTTTGTGGAGGGACTATCTTAAATATCTTATTCAAAAACTATTGAAATCATTTTGGAATGGAGTTGGTTAGATAAATAGATTTTGGTAGAAGAAATGCTTTTCTTATTTATTTCCAGTGCCTGTCGAGTGAGGCACATTATTTTAATGCTGCAATTTATTTCCTTATTTCTACAATGAATATGTGTAAAGACTTGGAAGCCTTTTGATACATGTACAGGTTTCCCCCCTCTACCCAAAAGTAGTGTTCCTGTGGAAACTTTTGTAAGTCAAAAAGGTGTAAAGTGAAAAACTATTTACCATTAATTTATATAGAAGAAAATTTGAGCATTCCCAGACCCAAAATTTAACACATTCACAATGTCTTTATTTCTGTCAAGATGCCACTCTTATGAACTCTCTTAGGCTTTTATGATTACTTAGGGCCCATCTTGCTACCGAATGGACTAAATGAATCGAAATACAGCACAGATGCTCACCAACATGGCTCAAAGCTATGCTGGTCTGATGCTGAGATGCTGAGTGTGTCCCCGGGGAAGGGGCTTGGCGGGGCCGTGCTCACTGCTTGGGGTGCACGCCACCTCTGTCACAACTCGCCACACAGGAAACGCTGAACAGTTTTCACATTTCGCCTTTTTTCGTAAAAGTGAAAACACTTTTCGAATTTCTTTCCATTAGCAGAAACAGATACTAATGTAGGTCTTTTGTAAAAGCAAAGTGGCAGAACATGAACTTTTGAAAAGTGGTGAAATACCTATAGATCCCACTATTGTATATGATTATTCTACTCTTTCTTGAGTTAGGGAATACTGCAAGGAATTCTTATATTTTAGGACATGTTTGATATTTCTGATGTCTTAATTCTCTCCATTTTCCCCAGAATCTTGAGCAGTGGACCCTGAGGCAGTCCTGGCTAGAACTTCAGTTAATGATTAAACAGTGCTTGAAAGATCCTGTGAGTATATATTGAAAGCATGTATGTGTATAAAATTTTATGAAAAGCGAAAACATGTTGATGTTTGAGGATAAAGTGCTAGTTTTTTTACGTCTGACCGTAGGGCTCTGGTTCAGTGGCCGAAATGAACAACTTACTGGACAACATTGCAAAGGCAACAATAGAGGTATTCCAGCAGTCTGCCGACTTGAACAATAACTCTTCTAACCCTGGTCTGGGCCTCTTCAACCCAAACGGGATTGGCAGTACCGACACGAGTAGCACAAGACAGAATGGAATAAAGACATTTCTAAGGTATTTTTTTCTGTCGTTTTATTAGGCTATCATTAATGTAACAGTGCGTTTTATTTGCATACTGCAGGTTTTTTTTATAATGCTTCAGGAATGTGAAGAAAATAATTACTTCTGTCAATTATCATTATTTAGTAATATGTTAAAGGATAATACTGAGTGGTGGATGATATCTTAGTTTAAGTATTAAGTTAATCGGGCCCAGACTCCTTGGAACCGCAGATGACATGCAAGATGGCATAATTTCTTTAGTGTCCCCTGAGGCTACTCTGTTCTGTGGTATTCATTATATAGGAAACGTTTTTTCTGCCTTCTTTATTAATTGGCAGTTTTGTACGAACGATAATTATGAAAAGCAGATTAACTTGTATTTCATCATTTTGGTATAAAGTATAACTAGTGAATTCTAAAACTTAAGAAATTATTAATATGCTTAACTGTTACAGAAAAGTGTATTTATTGCTTGTTGGACAAAAGGACTGTTACTAACCAGAGAGCCAGAATCCGTGAAAAACATTTTAATAGATTTTTTTTTTTTTAAGTTTAGTTGTGATATCTTCCTGAACTCCATATTTTATTGCCTTCTGAAAACGTGAGTGGAAAGTATATGCAAATATTTGGTATTTGTCAAGAGGAAAGATAGTTTAGAAATAAAAGGGAAATTTTAGAATAATCGGTATGTCTTATACATAAAAGTTGTACATTGGAGTTTCTGTTATAACTGTGAGAGCAGAGAAAAAGGCTGCCGTTTGGGGTGTAACACATGTTTCTGATTTTAGTTCCTCTGAACGCAGGGGTGTATGGCTGGTGGCCCCCCTAATTGCCAGGCTGCCGACTTCTGTGCAAGGAAGAGTACTGAAAGCTGCTGGGGAGGAGCTAGAGAAGGGACAGCACTTGGGTTCTTCTTCAAAAAAGGAAAGAGACAGACAAAAACAGAAAAGGTATGGCTGGAAGGTGTGTCTCATTATGTAAGATTCTAACGAACACTTGAGAAAATTTAACATTCTGCAAACATACATGATCACTGTACCCCTGAGTCCACTGAAATTTTGTTTTTAAGTGGAACTGAAAATATTTCATTAGGCAAGGCTCTGTCCCTAAAAAATTTCAGGTTATAATATTTACTACACTAGTTCTCAGCTGTACCACCATCCCCAAATCTGCTGAACTGTTAAAAATATTGACTTCTTAGCCCTACTTCATACCTGTTGACTCAGATCTGGATATCCACTTGGTCCCCATATTCTACTTTTAATTACTTTTCATTTTATATTACTTAGGTATTTATGTATAAATAGAAAATACATAATATTACTTATAATTCTGTCTTGTTGAACCCTGGAATAGTTACTAATATTTACAGATTAGATCTTAAAACTTATAAACCACCAAGTTTAATATTTTCTTAATTTATTTTATGCCCTAGAAAAGATATCAAATAATTATATTTGGAAACTATATCATTGAGAAAGATCAAAACCACACTTGAATGTGAAAACATGTTGAATTTAGCACCCACAGATATAAAAGGAAATGATGATAATTTCTTCTATTTACAAACAATTCTGAACATATAAGTTTCTTGTCCCCAAATTAATATTTTGGTAGCTGCCTTTTAAGCTCTTACAAAATGCCAACTCCTATATCACATTAATTTCATACATACTTGAACTTTTAAAATCTCACAGCAATCATATGTGGTAGCAGCACTCAGTATGTCCTTTTTACAGATGAGGAAACTGATGCACTGAAAGGTTAGGTAAATTTCTTAAGGACGCACAGCTAAGGTGTTATAAAGCTGAGATTGAACCCCAGGTGGTCTGGCTTTTGAGCCTGCACCCTTAACTAAAGTACATTTTGGTAGAGACCTAAGACCTATCTGTGCATGTTATTTTGTTTGTTACCTGATTGTCACCTTTGCCAGCATTAATTAATCAACCAGATGACTCAATTTAATTCTCAAAGTTTATTTGCTAATGAGTGATCATATGTACATTGCCTCACTTGCCACAGAAAGGACAGGTGGTATTACACAATTTCAAGATGGCTCCTCTCAAGTCAATCTCTCTTAGTCCTGCTGGTATAAAATGAACCAGTTTGAAAGATTTTGGCCTCGATCTCATCTTAAGAAAATTTTTTCCAATGTAACAATTAGTCTATCAATATGATTTGTTAGTTCTCCTCTAATAACTGAAGAATTCTTAATAAAATGCCAATTTAAAATAGAATTTTTACCAAATGTCTTAAAACCCTCTTACAAGTCCAGGCTGTGGGATGTGGTGGAACTGCACCCTGGAGGTCACTAGCAAACACGCTATTTTAGAATCCTCAGACCTAAGTGCTAATCATAGCTTTACCAACAAATACCCCACTGTTTGGTTTTGAGAAATGTGCTGAAAAATAAAACGAGCACAACAATCATATAAGCCTCTTTCCTGGACCCCTGGACCCCAAAATAAGAGTCTTGTGTGAGAGGAATTTTTTGATTTCTTATTTTATTCTATGTATCAAGTGATATTCCTTCTGATGTGTATCTTTAAATGCAGCTTACTGATGTAAAATACAATTTCTCCTCCCCCCATACTTCCCCTACATACCCATCTGCAGGGTGAATTTATGCTAGTTTTAGTAGTGCTTCAGGGCTAGAAAGCATATTAAATTATTTAGAAAAATTACAGTGGATTTTAATCTTATTAGTAGATATAATTTAACTTTTCAAGTAGTCTTTGGCTATTTACCCCTTCCCCTCTATTTTCTAATAGTAAGATAAATAATAGCCTATAAGCCAAGGGCAAGAAATCAGTGTTGCACAGGAAGTAACTCACTCTTTCTAACTAGATCTGCTGTTATTAACTTCCTTTGTAGTATGTCTCTTTTGAGTCAACAACCATTCCTTTCACTGGTCCTTACCTGCCTTAAGGGACAAGATGAACAACGAGAAGGTCTCCTAACATCTCTCCAGAATCAAGTTAATCAGGTAAAATATAGTAGAGTATTAAGCCAGGCAAGTATTTTTTCTAATGGTATTAATTTGTTTTCCTTTCAAATATTGAGATTTAACTAAGAAAAGGCACAGCATGTTTTGATTAGGTGCAGAGAGACACAATCCATTCCCTGTTCTTTTACTTGGCTTTCTAGTCAACACAAGACTAACAACTTTATAATATTAATCATGCATTGGATAAATGTAGATCATAAAATATTTTGCATATTGCACATAACTTTGACATATCTGATCCTCTCCTGACCCTGGCTCACGGGAGAGGTCCTAGAGCAATCTGCATTGCAGTAGGTACGGCAGTAAGACAGAGGAACCTGTATCCAGGTCCACATATCAGCCAGGGTCTCAACTTGAGCCCTATAGGTTCAGAAACTCAATTTCATTTTACTGCCAGAGCCAGTCAGGTGCATCAGATACTCATTTATAAATCAGAAGGCATTTGGTTCATTTATAAAGAATTTGTACTTTGCCTTTCTACCAGCCACAATTCTCTTGGCACTTACATTCTCTGTACCACAAGGAAACTGAGTGACACCATTAGAAATTGGAGCTTGTGGAATTGAGCAGAGTGGGTAGATTTGTCATGTTGGATGTTTTATCCTGTTACAGAGCCTAATGGAGCCCTCCTGTGGTTCTGTGGTTCTATGACATTGTATCTTTTCCCCTTGGATGGTACTGGATGAACATGGACAAGGACACTTAACTAACTTGGTCCTCTAGTCTCCCACCTTTTGGATATGAGAGATCTATTCTCTACACAGCAATAAGAATGATCCTTTTAAATGTAAATCACATATTTCTCTGATGCCCAAAATGCCACGATGATTCTTACTACACCTACACTAAAAATTTAAAGTTTGAGCTTATCAGGCCCTACGTAATTTGGCACTGGCTGCCACTTCTTTCTCATTTCCTACTGGTCATGGCTTGCTCACTCCACTTTTTTCATTGTGACCATGTTGTTCCTTGAACTTGCCAAGCAAATTCTTGTTGCAGTGGCTTGACATGTTTTCATCCTTCACCTGGAAGGCTTTCCTCCCAGATATTAGCATGGACCTCCCTTCATCAGGTCTCTGCTCAAATGTCACTTCCTTAGGCCCTCCCTGATCACTCTAAAAATAAGACGATAGTCATTTTCTATCCCCTTACTCTGGTCCATACCATTTGTTACACTTGACTTATTATTATTTGTCCTTCTACTTGAATGTAAGCTTCATGACAGCTTGTGTTTTGTTAACTGCCTTGTGCCCTTAAGTCAGACTCGAGGGAGGTCCATATCTTTTGATGAGAAATGGGAAGTATTCTCCTTTTACCATGCGGTATACTTACTGGTCATCTGTTGGGACTGGGTTACTTCTGCATGTGACTCATTCGAACTCTTTTAAGATGATTCTCATTAGTTACCACCATATTTCAAAGGGTGGTATTTTTTTATTTTTTTTGCTCGTGTCACCTGATTCTGGGCTGTTGCCCATTTGCGGTTTGCCTTTCCTAAGGAAATCTTCCATTTCCCAATATTAGTCTGAACCAATGAGGAAGTACTCACTTTTTAAATTGATATGCCACTTGACTGACCGACATATAAGGTGTCATATTTTTCAAAATAGTGAACATTATCTTTATCAAGGTAGATTAGTCTATAAGACAGCAAGCCACTTCAATGTAACACATTTGCTAGGGTTCACAGCATGTCCCTAGAAATATTACCTGGGCCTGATATAAAATGTAATTCTTAAATAATCTTTATTTTTGTTAATGTTAAACTTGATGGCCCTCTAAAGCATTTTCGAAGACAGTTACAGGATAAATAATTAGACAAGATTTTTCTTCTCCCATCTAGAAAGGCAACAAACAAAGAAATAGCCAGATTTCTTTCTACATAGTGGAAGGGGAGGAAAGATTTATTTGTTAATTTGTTAAACCAAGAAATTGCTCTGACTGTCAGTAAAAAGATAAATTTAACTTTAAATATGAAAAAAAAAATTGACTTTAACAGGAGAAACAAGATTTTTTTTTTTAATTTGTCTTCTGATTCAGATCTTAAGTAATTGGAGAGAAGAACGATACCAAGATGACATAAAAGCACGGCAGATGATGCATGAAGCATTGCAACTTCGCCTAAATTTGGTAAGAGACATTTCTGGTGTTTTCCCTCTTAAACTTATCTAAAGGGAAAATAACTCCAGCTTTCCACTTCTCCTGTGGTCACAGTCTTCATTACAAGGTGAGGCCTTCTGATGTTTGCTCTCTGTAACTACTTCCCTGTCTCTCTGAACCTTCTGTTTTCCTGGCTGCTGTCCTTCCTGTCTGGTCTAACTTCTAGACAGCAGTAGGTATTTTAGGCATTGATTTGCCTTGTGCCACCCCCACCCCAGAGGATCTCTCCTTTTTGCCGTGTGCTAAGAGTAGGTCTTAGAGGACTATTATGTTGAGATGAGTATTAACTCTTACTATACTTATTTAAAAACAATATTAAAATGAGATTGAAGTCAAAATTTTTCCCCCTTTTTAATACCGCCCTCCCCCACTTCCACCCCTGACCAATGGATGTTGCCATCTCCCCTTAAGAACTGGATCTTTGAAGGCAGGGCATCTCTTCCCACAGGCTTGCTCCATGCACCCAGGGCCTGGGGCGCCCGGCGCACTCGGTGCACTCGGGGGGCCTGGCGCACCTGGGGTATGGTCTGAGGCTCCACCTGGGACACGAACCCAGGACCTTCTGTGTGTAAAGCAGACATGCTAACCACTACACCATGGAGCCACCCCCTGAAGTCAAAATTTTATCAAACGTTCCATCAAATTGATGATAAAAACAAATTCCACATGGAGGTTTTACATAAATTAAAAATTCCTCACACATTGAATAGTCCTTTGAATTTTTCTTTTCTCACTGGATAGGCCCAGATGAAGGCTATTCTGGAGAATGGCTTGCTTGATATTTGGCAGTTGTTTATAACGTAATTCCCACACATGACGAGTAGACCTGGGAGCCAAGCCTTCTACTCATTATTACTTCTTTGTTACTGGAGATTTTCAGTTGTTATGACAACAGGCTTAGTTTAAATAGTAATTGACAACACAGTGGTAGATAATCAGTTTACGTGGTTTTAACCTATTCAGATTTAATTGGACTAAAATATATCTTAAAATTGGGTATCATGAAAGTTTGGGAACAAAAGAAAGCTAACTGTACTGGTATATAGTAATAGTTACATGCAGATTTTTGACTAAGAGGAAGGTCATTGCCCCTAACCACGCCCCTCACCCCTGCTTGTGCATTTTCAAGAATTGCATTCATGTTTGGCCTGTAATCCATATGATGCGTCCACATTCAGGTTCCCCCCCCCCCAACCCCCTTTTTGGTAGCACTTTTAAACTAATCAAAATTTGGCTGTCTAAGGTGATGGAGATGGTATTTTCTCTTTAACACAATGCGGATTTTATTGCATTTTTATGTGCTAGGTGGGAGGAATGTTTGACACGGTGCAGAGGAGCACCCAGTGGACAACAGACTGGGCCCTCCTCCTCCTTCAGATCATTACTTCCGGAACCGTTGACATGCACACTAACAAGTATGTTCTTATCATTCTACCTTTGCTGCATTGCTACAAATTCTGCCGCATCTGATTTTCTTAGGTGCCATTTTTTAAACAATTGACATTCTGTGTCTTAAATAAAAATGCTCAGTTAAGAGTGACTTGGTTTTGCTCTAAGGTGAAAATAATTATTTTCTGTCCCCTCTTAGTGAATTATTCACTACAGTTCTTGACATGCTGGGTGTTTTAATCAATGGAACATTAGCCTCTGACCTGTCAAATGTATCCCCTGGGGGATCTGAGGAGAACAAACGTGCATATATGAATTTAGTAAAGAAACTGAAAGTAAGTTTGTGACCTGCTTCTATCATGAGCTCAAATTGTTTATGGATTTGTTATTTAGTACGTTCTATCTTAATTTACTATTCATTAAATTAAATGTTATTTATTACATTCAGGTTAATGTAGTATGATTTTTTTGCTATTTGCTTTACTTTAGCTTACCAGTACCCAAAAGTAATAAGCATATAGCTTGAAGATTTTTCTTTTTAAAAAAATTTATATTCATAAGACATGCTTAATTTTTAAGGCTCTTTAGAAATCCATTATCAAATAGCTAACCAAAATCCGTTATCAAATATCTAACCAAAATATCTAACCAATTAGATTTAGGATAAATCTGTGCTTGGACTGGTACATGCAATTGAAAAATAACTACTTACACCGATAGTTCTAAATCCAATTCATTTGACTAACCACTAACACAGTCTTTGAAATAAACTGTAAACAATTGACATAGAAAACAAATTAATGTATCTGATGACCTTACAATAAAATAACCAATGGTTACCTTATGGTCTGACCCTGGATTCGAGAACCTGTTCCGTGCTGCAGCTCCTGCCTTCTGATTTCAATTACTATCCTGGATTTTGTCATTTCAGCACTGTGGTTTTTGTTGTGTAACAAGGGTGCCTTTTTATGAGTTCTATTTTCTACCCAAAATGAAGAAATGAAACACGTACCACTCTAATTGAGAGCTGCACCATAGAACATGTTCAAGGTTAAGGAACGTTCCAGCTATAAAAAAGGAAATGTTTCATAAGAGAACTTCTTTCTGGGTAACTTTTGCCTTCATTGTAATTTTTGTTCCACTTCTCTTTCTGTCTTTTTTTCCCCCCTTTTCTTTCTTTTTTAGAAAGAGCTAGGAGACAAGCAGTCAGAAAGTATCGACAAAGTTCGACAGTTACTACCTTTGCCAAAACAGACATGTGATGTCATCACTTGTGAACCTATGGGTTCCTTGATTGATACAAAGGGAAACAAAATTGCTGGATTCGACTCTATAGATAAAAAACAGGCAAGAGTAAATGTTTCTTTTTCATTATATAAACAAATAAACTTATAAAAATGAAATACATTTTCTTATCTTCCTATAAAGCATATACAACATTTTAATTTTACAGTTCCCTGATTTTTAAAAGCATATTCTTATTATTTAAGTGCAGTGGTCATTGTCATTATCATATAAATAAATCAAATCTTTGAAGATCTTCATTTAAAACTGTACTTGAATTTAAGTGAAATTCTGAAGCCCACCAATGGAAAACTAAAAAATTAGTGTAAAAAAAAAAAAGGAAAATTAGCAAAGACCAGATCTAATTTTACTTCGGAATCGAAAATAGAATATGTTTAGGTAAGAAAATTTTTATCGTTAAATGCCTTCATGTAGTAAACTATTTTGAGTAAAAAAATGTTTAAAGTGACAGTAATTTATTTTCTTATCAGTTAAACAATATTTAATAAACACTTGATTTATATAAGATATTAAACAAGGTCTTCTATAATATGAAGAAGTGGTCCATTATTCTTTCAATGAATATGAGCAACCACAGACTTCTAAAATCACAAAGACAGAACTCCAATCCTCAAGTAGAAGTAGATATATGATTACAGTGTGGTAAGATTTGTGTGTCATGTTATAGAGTGTTAGAGGACCCTGAATAGGAGCCATCACACTCAGATGAGAAGCATGTAGTCAGAGCAGGCTCCCCAGGAAAACTGACACTGAAATCATTTTGGAGGATTAAGAGTTAGCTGGGAGGTAGGGATAAGTATGGGACAGGCAAAGGGAAGAGTTTATGTAGAGGCATGAAAAAATGTGGCTCATAAGAGTATTGCAGTGCTGCAGTAATTTGAAGTACCTTGAGTACTTATACATACCGGTGTGTTTGTGGAGAGAGAAAAAGCTAGAATCATAGGCAAGTTGAGTTTCAACACCAATGAGCTCTCCAGTGGTGAGACATTTAGAAGCCATTTAGACATATGGTCTTGGCACACAGAAAAGAGGTCTAATATCAAGACACATATGTGGAAGCAGTCAATATACAGATGGTAACTGAAGACACCCATGGAAGAGTATATGTAAATAAGAACAGGAGAATTATAGAATGCCTGAGTAGTTGTTTTCAGGGTCATTTTGAAGTATTCTCGATATGTCAAGGAAGGTACCAAGAGACATCACCAATTAATATTAAAACTAAGAAACTTTTATTTTCAGAAACAATGACATTTTCTCTTCAGTAGAGATAAGCTTGAATTGAAGGATTTCATTTGTACTTGTTGGTACAGGTAAATTTTGAACTATTCAGAGACGGGCTTATTAAGTACATGAAAGGTGCCCATATTGAATCAAGTCCATTCATGTTTGGTCTGAAGTTAACCTGAGCCCAATAAGAGGCTGAATGTAACTTGACTGTTAAATTTTGTTTTATCCTAAAAACAGTAAGTAGATTCCGAAGGTTTATAACTGATTGTAATTTAGTACAGTAAAGATCAACTTTTCAGTGTTTCTTAGATTATTTTGTCAAAAAAAAAAAAAAAAAAAAAAACTAAATGAAAAAATGCCATTTTAGAGTAAAATACACTGGACTATCTGGTGTTACATTGTTAACAGAGCATCATGTGGTGTAGAGTAGAGCAACTGAACTGTAAGGTGTGGATTCCAGTCACTGCTCTCCAGTGATCTAATGTATAACCATGGACCAGTTAGTTATCCTGTCTGCTGTATGCAAAGGTTCTCTCTGAGGCCCACAGCAGCTAAAATGTTCTCCGATTCCATGATCCCAAGCAAGCTTGGCCTCTAATTAGAAAAAGATCTGAACACATGATCATAGAGCATTATCTCACCACAGGGTCTCCAGGTCTCTACAAAGCAGAAGGTGTCCCCTTGGGATTTGTTTGAGGGGCAGAAGAACCCAGCTCCTCTGTCCTGGGCCTGGTTCGGGACAGTCCGAATGGACCGGAAAGTAATCAAGTATGAGGAGCAGCATCACCTCCTTTTGTATCACACACACCCCATGCCCAAGCCCCGGAGTTACTACCTCGAGCCACTGCCCCTGCCTCCCGAAGAGGAAGAGGAAGAGCCTGCATCTCCCATCTCTCAGGAACCAGAGAGGAAATCAGCTGAGCTGTCAGATCAGGGAAAAACCACAACAGATGAAGAGAAGAAAACAAAGGGAAGGAAGCGCAAGACGAAATCAAGCTCAAGAGCTGATGTAAGTACGGGAAGTGGAGAGCTCTTTGGCTCTTTAGCATCTAGTAGAAGATTTACTAGTGCCCAAAGGATATCCCTAGAAACATTGCTAAAAGCAGTAGAAGCCTTTTTGTAACAGTTACGCTAATGAGGCTCTGTTGTAATTAACTGACCCACAGACAGTGATTTGTCACCGATGGCAGGATTATGTAGCTTTTAATTTTTCCTTCTTTACTTTTTATAATTATTAAATCTTAGGCTTCCATTGTGGATAATACTTAATATTTCAGTACCTCATAATTTCTCAAATTTGAAACTTGAAATTTTAAGACCCATAAAGTCTCATTCTCTTACATGTTTATTGTATTTTGGGAGTTGATATATTAAATAAACATAAAAAAACTCTTTGCTTTTCCCTTGATTAAGCTCCATCTAATGTATCAAATAAGATGTTTCTGAGATTTCATATTTTACCATTCCATCTTAACTTTCCTGTATATTGTTTCTTTACCATATTTTCAGACTTTATAAAAGATAAAGTAAACATAATTTAAAATAGTTTCACTTCTTGTTTGCCTATTAGCCTTCTCTACCTATAGCAACATTTTCTTGAAAACAACAGAAATCTATGAGATGGCAATTTAGAAATAATTTTATGGAACCTACAGAATTAATGTGAAAAATATCTTTCCATTTAACTTCACCTGGAAAATACTTGAGAGAGAATTTGAGACATTTTCCTATGAATTTCAAGGGTGTTCTTGTGCAGTGGAAAAAATATTCACAATTTAGTCCTGAGACATGATGACTATTATTATTATTATTATTATTATTATTATTATTATTCATTTATGTCAAAACCAAAACATATCTTTTTCTAGCAGATAGCTTGGTGATTATTATTATTCTAGAAATGACTGCCATCACTTTTAGATGTCACTTGAATGTCAGTGCTCTCTTCTCATGTAGTCTTCCAATCAATATTCCATTGTCCTGAAAGGAATGCTTAATAAGGGCCAGACTGCCACTCCCCAAAATCTGGGTCTTCTAACTTGTCTCTTCTCATAGATGGATTTCTGTTCTTTTCAGATGCAAAAGACCTAAAACTCATCTCATTCCCCAAGTGAGTCCTGGTCATGTCTTCCGTACTACTCCTGAGGCTGCTTCTTCCCAATGGGGTGTAGTGCAGGTTTTGTTTTTCCTTATCTTTTAGAGCTAGACTAGGGAAGGAGAGAAGGTGGCAGCGATCGAAACATTCAGTTCTGATCCTTAGAGACTTCGCAGATGCTGTAAGGAAGAAGAAGCCCTGAGCAAGAGACCTGGGGGCAGGAGTGGGAGGATAGGATGGGACTATGTTTGTAGGTTAGGATGGAGTCTACTATAGAGCTCTCTTGAAAACTGGAAATAAGATACTGTCTAGGCTGGGAACTGGTATGAAGAATTGTGGGCCTTTCTGTCATGATTCTCATCTAGAAGCAAGGTATCGGGAAGGCCTCCTAAGATGAAATGATGGAGAGACTTAGCAACCGAAGATGCTCTTTCAGCTGCGGGTAGTGGTCAGTATTGGCATCTTAAATGTGCTTTTAGTATTTTAAAAACAGAGTTTAGAAAACACCTTTTCCATCTCCCCCCACTGTAGCTGAGTACTTTTTAAGTCAAGGATGTTTTAACTTAAATGAGTATTTTGCAGAGAATATATTGAGACTCTTGCCTTCCATCTTTCCCTTTCTATCGGGATAGGAGCTATCTCAAATAATGTGAGAGGGAGAATTTGCATTAATTATCTATGTGATGTGTGGATTAAGTAACCTTTTTTTTTTTTTTTTTAACTTTATGTTGAAGGAGTATCCACAGAGCAACATATACCGAGTGCCTCCTAATTACTCACCCATATCCTCCCAAATGATGCACCATCCACAGTCTACTTTGTGGGGCTACAACCTCATGGGTCAGCCCCAGCAGCCTGGCTTTTTCCTTCAGAACCAGTCTCTTACTCCAGGTATGTGAAGAGAGAGCATAGTCAGGTCACTCCAAGATGAGAAATGGCTTGAGGTCCTCTTCATTTGGGGTTCTCCTTGCTTTTAATCTGAAACCTTCACAAAATTTGGAACTTTCAAGAACTAAGTGCTCAACTGACATTTCTGTATTTCTCTCCATTCAAAATGTTCTTTCTTCTTCTGAAATAAGGTTTCAGTTATGAGTTTATGTACTGATTTTGGAATTTTCATCCAGTGCTGGGTGGAAATTAGCCACTGATGAAAATTTAAGCTATAAGATATGAAGTTGATCAGAGTTTTATGTTGTGAAATTTGCGTACATTTTTATCAGATATAGTTCTTAACCAACATTTTAAAAGATTACACAGTCTTGCACAGTGTCTTATTGTTATTTTCTTATGTTATGAATTTTAAATTGTTTATACCATGAAGGATTTCAAATATTTGGTTCAACAAGTAGATTTAGGTATCAACAAGGAAGACTGCCATATCCAGAGTAAATGGTCCTGATTTTAGTATTGCTTTGATTCAAACTTAGTAAATTTTATATCTGGAAAGATTTTGTAAATTAAAAAAAATTTTTTTTAATTAGAAAAGGATTTAATTTTACATCTAAAGGAAAAATTACCTGTTTTACCAAACTAGGTTATTTTGAGATCTCAGTCTGCATTTTGTTAGGTTGTGCCATTATAATATGTAATATATTTACTTAGTTTATTCTGTGGTATAGTGTGATTTTTTTTTTTGATTTTTTTTTATGGTAAATTGAGTATGGCATTTTGAGGCCTAGGGAGGAAAATTTTTGGTTCTTGGCTTAAAGCAGGGGCGAATTCTAATGTTGTCCTGTAAATTAATGGTTTAGAGAGATGGTAAGGGAGTTAGAGTTCTAGATTCAAGTCTGGCTCTGCCACTCTCCTACTGTATAATCTCGGCCAAGTCTTAATTTCTCTGTGCCTCAGCTTGATCATCTGTAAAATGGATATGCTGATATATACCATCATAGGATGGGTGATTCAATTATATATTCCACAAAACGTATTGAGTTTCATGATGTGCCAGACGTAGTTTTGGGTGTTAGGATATTGCAGTAAACACAATAGATAAAATGCCTGTTCTTTTTTGAAGAATGAAATAAGGTTTATATTACACACATGCACAGATAACGTGTGTGTGTGTGTGTGTGTGTGTGTATAATTAAAAGTAAATTAAAAAAAAATTATATAGCATTCAGAATATAGCCTGACACAGCAGACATGCTCAGTAAATGATATCATATATTCTCACCTCAGGCTTTTTGTGCTTGCTGGTCCCTGTACCTGGCGTGCTCTCCCTCAGACATCTGCATGGCTCACTGCCTGCCTCCTTTGGGTTTGGTCAGACACTGCTTTCTCAGTGAGGCTTGCACTGACTGCCACGTTTTAAATTGTAAACCACACTCCTTCCCTGTACTCTGTTACCCTCCCTTTCTTTCTGTTTCTCCATAGCATCAGCACTTGTTTTTATATACTATATATTTATCTGCCTGTCCCAGAATGTAAGTTTTGTGAGAGCTGGTATTTTTTCTGTTATGTTCACTATAGTAGCCCCCGAACTTACAGCAGCATCTGGCTTGCGGTGAATTGTTGAGTGGATAAATGTAGACCACAAAGAACAAACTGGATTTAATGATAAATGTGGAAAATAATACACGACTATCTTCTCTTTTGACTTTCTCTTTTTAATTCCAAGGTTCTTATGAACTTTTTAGCATTTTAAACTTCGTAGATATTGAATCAAATACAAGAATTGTCTATGAATTGAAGCCTAAGTACTTTATAAAGACACATACTCTCTCTCCCTAAAATTATATGAAAGGCATACATAAGTTGAGGATCTTGGGTATTAGATAAATCATAATATGATGACATGTAAGAAATAAATTTTAAGAAAACACTTATTTCTGAAGATTTTATATGTGCGAAATAATAGATTTTCATAAAAATATGAATCCTGTGAAGTTGAGGAGTATGTACAATATGCTTCCATTTATACCTAGTTAAACACTCACACACATACACACACGCATCTTTACCAATCTCTCTCTCATTTATACACACTGGTAAGGTAAATTTATATGGAAATGTATTGGAGTAATAAATGCCAAATTCAGATTAGCATTTGATGGGAGAGGAGGAGGAAAGTTATTAGGTAGGACTATACAGAAGGTTTCAGCCATGTATGTATGTATGTATGTATGTGTGTATGTATGTGTGTGTGTGTATATATTAGTTGATTCAGAGGTACAAGATTATAGAAAAGTTAGGAAAATTAAAAGACAGAAGACCATAGTCCAATATTTAAAAAGAATGTCCCTTATCTATGAAATGAGTCAATTAAGTTTTTATGGATTAGTATAGTTCCAATTCTTGCTTCAACAAAAGTTACCTTGCCATATGTTACTCAAATAGATTTTCCATTTTTTTCCCAAATGTTCTTCAAGCATCACTGAATTACTTCATAAATCATATGGCTGATTGTGGTACTGACTCTTTAAAAGAATGTGGGTTTTTTGAGTGACTGTCTTTTAAAATGTTTCTTCCTGTCATACACCTTGCTTTAAAAAAAGATAAAACATCTTTTGTTAGGTATTTATACAGAAATTTTCTTACGTACATACATTAAAGAATATAGACTATCTGGTGAGTGAAGGATTGGTACCTAATTTGAAGCCAGCAAATGTTGAAATTTTTCCCTCAAATTCTTTAAAGACATTTGACAAATTGTATCTGCAGAGGTGTTAAGGGTTTCCTTTGGCTTCTTAAAATCACTATAATTAACATGTTTTGTTTATTTTGTGTCTAGCCTTCAAAAAAGATGTGTTTTATTTTTAGAATCAAGGTATTTTAAATTTCCAAGCATTTCAAGTTTTCAAAGTATTTTAATGCCTCCCTATTACAAAACAGGCATTTTCGTTTTGCCATGGTAAAGAAGCTTAAATACCATGAGCTTCAAATTTGTTTAAAATTACAAAAAAAAGTTTCTAAGCCTTCCTTAGGACACTTGGCAAAATATACCACAAAGGCAATACATTTCACACCGGTTCCTGAGGGCCTTCCATAATTTAAAACCCATGTGATTCCAAAATTAAGCTGACAACTGTGTTTCAGGCCTTTCACTTTATCAGCTCATGTGGGACCTCAGTGAAGTCATTTAAATATTATAATCACTCCTACATCACCCTCCCCATCCTTAACAAATTTTTAATATTTGTATAGGGGGATGAGGCAGTGCCTTATTTTCCATTTTGCTTCATAAATTGAGGCTTAGAAGGTGAGGTTTCTGCGTTTTGATAAAATAAGGAAGACCTGTTGTGTTAACGTGTAGAAAGCCCTTTCTTGTTGCTTTTGTAGGTGGCTCTAGACTGGACCCTGCCGGCCCTTTCGTTCCCACCAATACCAAACAAGCTCTGTCCAACATGCTGCAGCGTCGCTCGGGCGCCATTATGCAGCCACCGTCCCTTCACGCGATCACATCGCAGCAGCACCTGATACAGATGAAGCTCCTGCAGCAGCAGCAGCAGCAGCAGCAGCGGCTCCTTAGGCAAGCCCAGGCACGACCTTTCCAACAGGTTTGTCCAGATCCAGCAATGGAGTCTCTGTGTTTCGTGATTTTCCTCCAGTGAGGGATGAGCATAGGGAATGTGGCATATTCTTCCTGCGTGTATATCCCTGTGTACTTGAGTGAGTGCAGATATATCTCTTTTATACAGGTTTATAAATCTTTTTTTCTCCCTTGCATTTTACTGTTATCTTTAATTAAATAAGAACGTGAAGTGTCTTAGGTTCATTGAGAATATGCCTTTAAACAAAAAAGGGAGCCAGTTATTTTGTAGTCAATTAGAAGCAGCAGAATTTTCATCCTTGAAGTGACCTTCTCTGAGCACTCATTCCCTATTTTAATCATCACCATGTTTTGTACTCCTTTTAGCTCTACTTTTATGTATTATTATTCAATTTATTACTTTGAGGTTGTATCTCTGAAGCCCATATGTTCCTTAGGTTTTCTCGTACAGTGCTCTGCGCACACTCTATTTTGAGTGCTTGCTTTATAAGATATATGACAAAGAGTACACTACTACTAACAGTCAGTATATGGATATATTTAATTCCTGGTTTATATTATTTCTGTTTTTATGCCACATAACCCAATTTAACTTTTTAGATGACAGTGATTGTTTAATAAAACAGAGGTAGAAGTCACATAAAACTTAGTATAGACTCATGAAAGCCACAAATCTGTACAAATACATTACAATAAAGAGGGAGAAGATTGTATTTCTTTTTCTAGTTCCTATATACTTTTTGTATTTTCCAGTTTTTCTTAAAAAAATTGCACTATTTTGATGATTAAAATAATAATAATAATAATAATAATAATAATAAACTAACACTAATAGAGCACTTACTATTTGCCAAAACACTTCCAAGCACTTTAAATATATTTTTTATCTTACATCTCAAAGCAACCCTGTGAGTTTGACACTTTTATGATCCTCAAAGGAAGTAGCCAATCTATAGGTGTGTCCTGCTCTAAGAAAAACGACAAAACTTTCAAATTAGCTAGAAATTCTAATGCTTTTAAAAATTTTTTGTGTGTGTTTTAGATAACTATCGAGACACATATGTATTGTATAACTTATGGCACTTCCACATTCAGTCCACGTAGTGATTTGGGGGCTTGGGGGTGGGAGAGTGATTTATGCGTTCTTGAAAATGATTCCTTTTTTTTTTAACCTGTGTTATAAGAAGGTCAGGAAAGAGGAAACTAGTTGAACTGCATAAGAAACAACAGTCACTACAGGTTTGTCCCTCTTTGACCCCTAGTGATTGCTCAAAATCTCTGGGTGTCAGGTAAGATGGGCCTAAGTTGCGTCTTACCAGAAATAATGAATGTTTGATTAAAATATTTTAAAGGCTCTGATTTTGCTTAAATCAGCAGCATGTTTGGAGCCATTTAAAACCTCAGTGGGATATTAGCTGTTTTGGGGGATGAACAAATATAGTTATACCATTTTTTCAAATTCTTATTTAGATAAATTAAAAATTTACTAGAAGTTGAGTAACCATTCCACTCGGATGAATTCAGCTCCTTTTTATAGTAATTTAAGCCTAAGTAAAATTTACCTCGCAATAAATTTATTTAGTTTTTCATGTCTACCTTTTCACCACAGAGTATAATTTGCCTTATTATTAGCCCACCTAAAGCAAAAATTTTAAAGGAATTTAATAGAATAATCTACATGTAATCAAAGACATCTTTATGTATTTGAGAAGGCAAGCTTATAACCTAAAATGTACCTGGAGGGCCCCACTGCTTCCCCACTTACCTCTAACTACTCAAAAATACCTGACTCTATTCTTTTACACCACCTAAAGTTGTACTGCTTGTACTAACAGGAACTGACTGATAGGTAGGTCATTCTTTTTCCAATTGTTTTGTACCAGCTCTGTCAGAACGTTGGCGTTTTCTTTTTTCTTTTTTGTTTTTTGTTTGTTTTTCCTTTTGAGAAATCAGAAATTTCTTTTTCAAGTAATAAAAGTTCAACTTCATAATACTGATTTGCTCAATATTCACATTCACCCCTTTCCCATATTCTTTTTTAACAGTTGAAACGTGCATTAGAATTTCTGAAGGACTTTCAGAAGCAGATGTTTTTTTTTTCCTCCCTCGATCACCATTCTTAAAGTGGCGGATCATTGAGGAAAATAGTATTCTTATAAGGAAGAGAATTGCATACGTGGTGTAGTCAAGGGTAGAGTGTTCCTACATAGAGTAAATGAGATATGCGTGTGGCATCTGCTAGAGTGTCAGCACCTAGGCAGTTCTGAGGGAAGTGTTGGCTCCTCTCCTCTCTCCTAGTAGATCATGTACAAACTATTAATATACCTGAATCTAGCTAAATATAGTAGCAGAAAAAAATTCTTGTGCTAATTCTTAAAAATTGAGAGTAAAGGCAGAATTATATGGAATATAACTGATATCGATAAATTGGTTTAATATATGATTCTGGAAGCAATTAGTTATTTTTGTAATTGGTAATTTCTTCATGATAAGAAATGGTAGAGCATCATTGATTCCAATTTTAGCAGGAACATTTTCTCAGATTAAATGCCTACGCATAATGTGATTCTCTTTGGTTACATAAGAACTTGTAATTTTTTGGCTTACAGGGAAAATGAAATAGGTATCTTTTCTCCTTATCCTAGCAATTTTCTAATTACAGAAATCCATTTCCTTAAATGCAATAAACATGTTGGAGAATTTCCATTTATATTAATCTTTAAGCATGATTTTTGAATTTTAATAGGTGCTTTTAAAGCCTGACTAGTTTCTCCAAGTCTTGGATATGAGTGCTCCCTAGGCCAGTTGTGGGTGACCCCCATCCCAATTCCCCCTTTCCCACCTTATAAGGTCAGGCATTGGGTTTTATAATATTTTATATTATCTTTTCATCTCTTGAGCACAGGGTAGAAATCTATGAAGTATTTATTGAGTGAATTCATGTTTTGAGCAGCTGTTTCCAAAAGCCTAGAGCTTCCTAGTAACTTTAATCTTTAGCAGTATGGATTAGTATCCAGAAATTCGTCTCATAGCTGTTCCTCTGAGTGCTTCCAGAAACTTCTCCCAGCAGTGACCTCTGCTATGGTTATTTTGAAAATCTAGATGGAGCAGGGAGAACACAAATTCCTGAATTCTGGATATGTGTCAGAACTTGCCTCTTCCCATCTAAAAGAGAGAAGTTGATGAATGTAGGAATCATCTAGCCTTAGTGCATGAGGAAATCCAGAATAGTATTATCAAATAGCTCTAATTCTGCTGCAGAGACTGAATATCCACTTCAGTGGGTCATGGAATTATCTGTTATGAACCATCTTATATTTCCTCAGGAATATATTAAGACATTGGTTTAGTGTCTAGAAAATAGGTGCTAAATAGCATGGATATTGTTAGGTATTTTTAATCAAATTATTTGATATAATGATTGTTATATAATCAAGTGTATTTTTGTATGGTTTTAGTGCATATCGATGTGCATAAAGATGTTTTGGCAAGGAAAATTGTTTTAATTCTTTTAGTTACAGTTTTCATCCAGGAAAGTAAAACTGATCACTCTCCATTTCTTACTGAGGGTCTCTAATTAAAATGGGACTCATTGTAGTGATTATGTTACCTCTCAGTGCCTCAGAGCCTCACCTATAAAGTGGAGCTAATGCAATAGCTACTTTATAGGGTTCTTGTGAAATTAATTATTTAATACTTTTAGCTGCCCTTAGAACAGTAGTAGCTGGTGCATAGTGAGTGCTCAAAAAATGTTAGCTGCCATATTTACTATCATTGTTTTATTAGTATTATTTTATGGTGGTTGTTATTTCAGAGAAAATACCTATCCCATAAAAATAATCTTTACTTTCTTAAATATTTTAAGGATTAAAAGAGAATAAAAGCACATCGAATGCTTTCTTGTATAATTACATTAATTATCTAATGCTCAGTGATCACCAGTAGAAGAGACCAATAAAAAGGAGTATTGTTTAGTTTTCCTAATAGACATTTTGGTGTCTTAGAGCAGTATGTTTTTACTGTCTAAATTCTGTGATAAAAACTTTAGAGGGGCTGATTCCAATTTCAGTGTTAACAAATCATTGTATTTTATTTTCCATATAGCCTATGAGGACTGTTACAGAATGTAGACTATTAGCTACAACAACGCAAAATGCTGCTTTAATTGTTTCCCAGTCACCTTTTTCTTATATCCAGTGATTTTCTTCTAACAAGAAGGAACTTCCTTCCCCCCTCCCACCATATCAACCTTCTAGGGAAGAGGCTTTTTAAGTTTTCTTGTCTTGACACAGGAAAAAGACTTAATTTTATTCCTTGGCTCTGGTATCAGTTTATCCTGATTTATTCCTTTCAGTGCACAAAAGCATTTTTTGTTCTTTGTAATAATCAACTCCAAGCAGTTTTGAAATCCAAAGTAAGCTAGACAAAAATCAGTTTTAGCTTAAATTGATTGAGACAAATTTGGAAGGGAGCAATTGGTTATAGGCTAAAGATAGATAACAAATCAGAAAGATTTTCATGACGTTGTAGAGGAAGATTTCTGACAGAGGACAAAAATGATGTGCCCAGTTATAGCTAGTGGTTACTTATGTGAACACTAACTTGTCACCCATGGAGCAGGTGCCATCACTGTGTACCCAAATAAAGGCGTTAGGTAACTTAATGAAGAATAGTGACTGAGTCAGAGCCTCCCAGAGTTGTTAGCTCTTTGGCAGACTAAATCTGTAACTTCCTGAAAACATGGCCTCTTGGATTGATGAAACTCATTTTAAGTTGAACAGCCACCTTTTCTGTCTGGTAATTGATCTCCTGCCATATGGATATGATATCGCCCTGGAACATCCGTTTCCTTCCTTCGCTCTCTCTCCTGCTCACTCTTTAGCAGTGTACTTCAAACATGCAGACAAGAATAGAAAATAATATAGCAAACACTAATGTACTTACCACCTAGCTTTATTAAAAATGTTCTGCCATATTTATTCTAGATAATTAAAAAAATAATAAGGC